TGATGGGGCCTTATCGGAAATTGATGGGGAGGGTATGTCTTTCGTTTCTGGCTCGTTGTAGGGCAAATGAGTGCATTCATCATACAGGGGGACAAACGATTTATGGACGCGAACGAGGGCACACCGGTCACTCGTCCGGGGACAAAATCCTCCCCAGCCATCAACTCCGCTGTTGATTCCGGCAGGGCAGCTGTGTCGGAGTAGCGGGCGATCAACTCCGCTAACATCTCGTCACCGAGTTGTTGGATCACCTCATCGAGGATGTCCATTGAGCGGACGTCCGCGGGGAGGGGGCAATCCCGGGCGAGATGGTTTGGGTCGCCACACCTGAAGCAGGCGCGACAAGGGGCACCCTAGGCCCTGGTGCGATCCAACTCTATAGGGACGGGAGCTGGAGGCGCCGGAGCGGGGGCATGGGCCGCGGGTGGCACGACCGGAGCCACCGGGCGGAAAGGGGCCGGAGCCGGGATGCGGTTGACCGGAAACGGAGTCCGAATCAAACCGCCAGGCGTCTTGGGGGCGGCTGACTTGATCAGCTTGGCCCGGACCAGGGCCTCGTATTGACGGAAGGCCCGGGTGCGCCAGCTAAGGTAGTCCCGGAGGTCCGGGGGTCGTTCGAGGACGTGATTCCGTTGTTGATCAGGGGGTCAAGTCCGTGGCGGAACTTGGTCACCTTGACCAACGCGCGTCTTCGAATCCGGCGAGGTCCATCAGGTCCTCGAAGTCGTCGGTGTACTGGTAGACATCCTTTGTGCCCATGTGATAGGCGGAAGTCTCCAGTTTGGAGAGAGCATGATCTTGCTCGTTCTCCTCGACAAACCGGAGTCGAAACTTCGGAAACGAACGAGCCCCAGGACGGAAACGGAAACGGGGCTTTGCTTCCGTGGCGCTCCGCCCATTGCTGAGCGGGTCCTTCTGCCATAAACGACATGGCATAGCGGACGGCCTTTTCCTCACTCGCCTCTCCGTTGACCACAAAGGCCTCAGGGGCAAGGCGGGCGTAGGTGCGGACCGCATAGAGGAACGCGCGGCCGCGTTTCCGATCGCCGTTGAAGGTGAACGGAGGGTTTGGTCGTAAGACCAATTTTGAGGCGAGGTTGATGTCGCCAAAGAGGGCCTCGGAATCGCCCTGAACCGGAGTCGGAGTCGGAATCGACGTCTCCGGGGGTGGTGTTGTTTGGGGTCCGCCAGCAGTATTAGCGGCGGCAGCGGCAGCGGAAGCCTGGGTGGTGAGAAGAGTAAGGGCCTCAGTTAGGCGGTCGATTTTCACCTCGACTGCATCCAGCCGAGTGTCAGCGTCAGGAGTAGCTCCGGAAGGCATGACAGGTGCGGGGACGACAGGAGTGACAGAGGAGGAGGGGACAAGTGGTAGGGGCGGTGACGAGGGCGGAACGGACTCGTATTCCGAGCCTGAGTCAGCGCCGAACCTAGCAATCTTGTCCGGTTGATCCCGTAGAGAGTTTCTTCTGCTGTAAGGGCAACCCCGGAGGCCTGAGATCAAGGTCCTAGCAGGGGAGGATCCAAAGAGTGAATAACAGTAAGCAAATACAAAGGAAGCTGACCTAGCAGGGGAGGATCCAAAGAGAAGAAACTCTAAGGGTCCGCCTGCTAGGTAGCTGAACTATATACTGCGCTCTTGACGCGCCAAGGTTGATCGTTGCTCCGTGCAGTATGCCTGCGCCATGTCGCAGGCCAGGTCCCAGGGGGATCGCCAGGCGGGGGCGGTGATGCGATTGATGGCGGTGATGCGATCACCGGAGTCGGAATCGGGTCGATTCCGGGCCGAAAGGGGAGGTTCCCCTGACAATGTCTACTAACTTCGCAGGCACAGAAGTTAGTAGACATGCTCAACTATACTATTATAAATCTAGGACTTCTTCAGGATACAAGCCCTCTCAGGAAACCTTCCATAACCTTACATGTCACACTTGTACCCTTTGGCTGGTTCCTCAACCAAAGTGATAAAAGATGTCTACTAACTTCTGTGCTAAGGAAGTTAGTAGGCATGATCAACTATATTGTTATAAGTGCAGGACTTCAGCAGGACATCAGGCATCCCAGTATACCTCCCATGGCCTCAAAAGCCATTGTTGTCCCCCCTATCTGTTTTCTTACCCCAAGTGATCAAAGGGAAGTTAGTGGACATATTGAGCTATGATAAATCCAGGACGTCAGCAGGACAGAAGACATTCTAGTAGATGTTCCATGGCCTCTGTGTGTCCCCCCAGTAACCTTTCCAACCAAACTGGTAGAAGATATCTACCAACTTCCATACCAAGGAAGTTGGTGCACATCATGGATTGTAAGCCCCCCCTCTTGCCAACTATGTCTCATATCCTCTACTGACAGTCCCAACACCTTATATAGAGACTTACATATATGTTCAAGGACCTACATGTCCATACTGTCGAGCACGGGACGCGTAGGTGGGGGGAAAAGAGCTGGAAGCGCCGCTTGGGGGTGCTTTTGACCCCCAAAATCACTCTGGAACAGTTCGGACCGGGCCGTGGCCGGCCGGAGGCCCCGAAACACGACATGGGACGTGTATGAGCTCAAAACGCTTGCTGAAGCAAAACGCGAGAGACTGAGACGTCTCAGTATGCATTAAGGGGGTAGATTGAAGCGGGATGAGACAAAACAAGCGTCTGAAACTGTCTCAGAGCGAGACATGTGACCGGCAGCCGCGGCCAGGGATTATGTAAGGCTGTGACGGCCCTAGGTATATATTCGCGCTGTATTGTAGCATAGGCCCCAGAATACAACGCCCCCCATAGCAGTTCTATTGCTCCCCATAGTGGAAAGTTGAACTTGCTACCCTCAAGAACACCTACGACGACGACGAACCTCTGATTGTTGAACGAGTATTGATTTGTTTTACAGGACATTGGAGTGCTAGCTTGATGTGAAGACATGAAGATGGGGAAACTATGCTCAGATGCGCTTCCCTTTATGGAACGTCGCCCTCTTTGGATGGAGCGACCCATATTGGAGTTGTTTATGCCATTTATGGTGTGGCAACTGATGCTCTTGATGCTAGTTGTTCTTCCCTCAATGATGAAGACAACAAAGGGACCAGGTAATGTATCTATTTTCAGCAACGACATACCAGATGTGACTGTGACTGTGACCACTACCATTTTGGGTTTTGGTGTTGGTTTTGGGTTGGGATCATTTTGGAGTGGGTTGTTGTTGTGGGGATGTTTGGCTACAAGAGGCATGCTCTGTATGTCATATCTGTCCTATCCTACATCAACACCTCCTTCCTCTCCACCCAACTCAACATCATCATCATCATCAACAAGACCACCACCAACACCACCTTGCACACCATCAACACCAGCAGCACACTTCCCATCATCAACATCATCACTGTCATCAGTGATACCATCACACTCATATCACCTTCACCTCCTCAACTTGTTCATCATCATCTTGCTCTTATGGGTTGCAGCATGGATATACTTTCCATGGAGCCCTGAACACACAGACCTTGATTTGGGTGTTTTGGTTGTTTGTGGAGTTGTTTCTGCATTCACCATTGCTCGCATTTCATGCGTTTCAATACTGTACATAGTTAGCCCTTACTAACATAAGTTAGTGGACAGGATAAATCATTAGAAAGGACCCTTACAGATAGGATCACTATTACCTACCTATGACCTCCCCTGACACTGGTATTGACACCCAAATTGCCCTACATGCTCATACCATATTAAAATCCTCCAAATATCCCATATAAAAGATGTCTACTAACTTCAGACTCATCCATCACTAGATCAAAAGGCTTATATCTCCTTAACTACTTAAGCTATTGATAAACGGTTTGTACATTTAGTATCAGCAGAGCATTCTGCACAACTTTCGTTTTTTGATGCGCCATCAGATCGGGACAGCGGGCGGGACCATGGGCGACCCCAAGATCAACAGCCATCAGCAACTTTGATGGCAGTGATGGGATGAGGGCGGGGGAGGGCGGGCAGAGGGCGGGACTTGACAGCAGACAGCGATGATGACCTTCGCTGTCATCGTGTCATCCAGTGATCATCCATTGATGCTCCGGCCAGCCCGCTCCCCAGCCCGCTCCCCAGCCCGCTCCCCAGCCCGCTCCCCAGCCCGCTCCCCCCAGCCGGCCTCCCCCCTTCCCCCCCAAAGACTCCCTGTCCACTACAGCGATTCCTGAATGTAATGACAATGTCACATTTTTTTTCGCACCCCATCTCAAAAAGGAAATCATGGCTCCCAAGCTTCCAATTGCACTACAAACAATTTCAGTGCACTGAATACTTCTCATAGCTATGGTGGACACTCAAATTACTTGTCCTCAAGGATAGTGGATGGGTTGAAGGTCAGTTTTGCGACAGGTTCATCGAGCGCTAGGCACCGATCGGCATGACACATTCTTCTTAGCCACAACACATTTTACTCTCGACCAACTACATCTACTGACTGAAATTCTTCTATGTTAGCCATTATATGGTGTATGTACATCTCTTTACCAGTATATATGATTTTGGATACAGTTTGAGGCTCAGTCAATGCCAGAAATGCAAATGGAGGCATGGTTTCCTTTTTGAGAAGGGCGTGAAAAAAAATGTGACATTGTCATTACATTCAGGAATCGCTGTAACATCCTGTCCACTAACATCCAGAAGGGAGTTTAAGGAAACACAGTGGATATTCATTATCCCCTCTAGTTAGAGCTTCACCCCCCCGAGGCTCTAACTAGAGGGGATAAGTGGGCAGGTTAGGTGAAATATTCCGTCCATACTCCGCGTCGTGCACAATTTGGGAGGAATCGAACACTTGAAGCCGTTGTGAGTGTTTACTCAATCATCGGAGTCGTTGTCTCAGGTCGCTGACATTTGCAACGCAGCACAACACCTAATGTGTTCACAAAGCACAGACGGGAAGTGGTGGAAAAATTTGCTCGAGCAGCAGCCGCAAGGTTCAAGCCTTCGCCAAAAGAACCCAGACCCAAATATGCGGCATATGATGTGATAATGAGTGATTTGATAGCGGACGACGACAAGGCAGTCCACTCGCTCTCTTCAACAGACCTTTTGAAATTCTTGCAGCTATATCTTGATGTTGGTGCTGTCAATCGCTTCCAGGCTCTCCTTCTCCTCTGCCATCCCGCTGTGGATTTCGTTTACCTCATTCCCCAACTGGCGGAACAAATCCGAAAGTCGGAACCTGTCGTCGCTGGATTATTTCTCCCCGCTTTCGAACTCTTCGCTCGACGAACGCTGAAAAGCTTAGCGACGACACTCCGTGAATGCAGGAAAACGGACCTCAAGCAACTGCTGACATTTGGCTGTCCATCGGACGACCAGGAACTGCCTAAAACATGCGAGCATGGCTGTGTCGAAGTTCGCAAGTTCTTGATAGAGAAGGGGGCATATCCGGGACTGCCAATTTCACTACGAGAATCGCCTACTCTGCTCATTAACCGCAAAAATGAGTCAAGGAAACATGTCGAAACATATCTGGAGCATTTGAGGCTAGCGTGCACCAGGGATTCGTTGTTGACTTGGAGGACCGATGTAAGCGGAAGCCCTCACACACTCGTTGTGAGTAATAGTTCGCTTATAGTGCATCCACTTCGAATGTGACGTTTGAAATTCCAGATAACCAAGGCTTCCGACCCGTTTTGGAGTCTCGCGACGCAGATTCCTCGTGCTCAAGGATACCTCTCAGCTCTTGGCTCTCTTGACGCACAAAAGCGCATTCTTGACAACGATTACGCTTTCATCGCACGCGAGATCAACAAGGCGTCATGGCCAAACCCAGGCTCCCAAATGACACTTGGTACCGGTTCTCCTGCCAGTGGATATCCTACTGCGAGCAAGCGACTAGGAAGTGTGGTGGCATCTGACGAGGAGGGCTCGGCCGCGAAAAGGGCCAGGTCCGAGTCTGAGGCGCTGTCTTCGATTGACACCGACAATGACTCGGACTGTAATAGTGACGAGGATTGGCGACCTTCGCGCTCTAGGCTCCATTGCCAGTGACCATGAGTCTGGATGACCTGTACTTTATTTATGTATCCTCTTGATACCCATTGGCAGGGATGAACCAAGAATCCTGGTTTTGCAACAACTTGAATTGCCAGTGAATTGACAATCCTTGATATGACTCTATCCTTCAAGTTTGAGCACGAATGGCTACGAGGGAGCCGGCCGTATGGCGTCACCACGCTGTTGAAGAGCGCGATATAGGCGCGATGCAGTATGGGTGGCCCGTGCATGGGATATGCCGGGCAGGAGATATTCCGGACCGATGTCACGTGCTCCTCAGTCGTTTCCCATCCACGACTGAGGTATGCCGTTTCATTCATTCCGTAGCTACCTACTTATCATTGTAGTCTTCTACAGGTAGCTTCCTATAGAGTCGTTTCCCATCCTGCATCTTGTTGCTACTCTTTTCCTGAGCTACGTCAAGGCTGCGGTACGAATGGTATATTTGCCAGTGGAACCGGGGGAATGAGATTGTATTGATCTAAGAGTGTCGGAGAAAATTGTCGACGAGTAGGAAGCAAGTAGGAAGAATGGCGCCGCCCAAAAAATGTTCAGTACTTACTACATTGAGCAGAAAAGAGGATCTTAATGGACCTCGAGCTCACCGCCACGATTGTTATCTTGTGCGCAGGCATCAAGAGCGCTTTGTTTTCGGGCTATAAGCGCGACACTATAGCGAAATTTTTAATTTCTTATTTTGGCTGTGACGACCGCGTCACAGCTCGCGTGACAGCTTCTCCTATTTAAACACCGATGGCTGGCATATCCGCCCTCGTCGAATGCCTCACGGATGATCTCAACGACGCACCCACCCTATTCCGCGCTCTCACCAAATCTCTCAGCAATGTCAGTGCTCTCGCAAAGACCCAAACGATCGGATTAGTGGGACTGGAGGGGTATGAAATGCTCTACAAGAAGCTTCCGTGGCACGTCGTCGAGGAATTGTGAGTGATTTTGGAGGAATTTCTGGTGAACTGATGTCTCCCTCTAGCATGGTGCGATCCCTCGAAGACGACCAGTCTGATGGTCGACGACGGGGACTTATCCGCTTGCTCCACAGGCTGGAAGTCGATTCCCTGGCTCCAGGATGGTGTGGCCAGCAAGCCATCAAATTCCTGGATTTCCAAGACCCAGGCGACACACAATGGCTGCTCGAAACCCTGGTTTCCGATGTACCTTCATTCATAGACAAGTGCGTCTTTATACTGCTATTCAGCGATTACCGAACCCGCAGTGTCATTCCTGTTTTAGAATCCAGGAAATTGTCCCAGTTCTTCTGGGTGACCTTCATCCGCACACTCCGTCAAGAATCGAGCAAATTTGGAGGCTTGGAACAATCAAAATCCTCGGTCGACAAGCTCGTCTGTCAATGTTTGCATATTATTATTCATAACTTAAATGCCTTTCCTTCCTATACGACCTGCTATCCGGCTGGCGATAACATGACCGGCAAGCAAAACCTACTGAAGATTTTTGAACTCTGCCGCGAAACCGACAACATGGCGCTTACCACCTTGATAATGTCGAAGATGCGTCGAGCTGCTTCAGAGATGCCGAACCAGGACTTCAAACAATTCTTCCTCGTCCTCGTCCCGCTAGCTATCGAGGTCGTCACATCCACGGACGATCCAAGTTTGCGATTCCATGTTGGAGTCTACCGGGAGTTCCTAGTGAACATTCTCGACGCGATATTGCAAATACCCGCGGCCCATTCAAGTTGCCAAAGCTGCGAACTCAAAATTAGGATCAGACCGACTGACTCCACGTCGTCCCAGCCTGACGGCCCTATCGCCACCCCAGGGTGTGATATACTAAATGACGATAACGTTTCTACCATCCTCCTCGTTGTTCAGAAACTTGGCGGCATCGAAAACTTGAATCAGTTGTGAGTACTTACTCGCTTTCGGCCTTGTTGCTCATTAACATTATTCATTCACAACGCAGCACAACAGCATTCGCAAAGCATAAGCGTGTGGTTGTGGAGAATTTTGCTCGAGCGGTCGCCGCACGTTTCAAGCCTCTGCAAAAGGACCCCGGACCCGAACATGCAACCTATGATAGAACAATGAGCAGTTTGATAGCGAGCGACAAGACGGTTCAATCACTTTCTCGAGAAGACCTCTTGGATTATCTCCGACTCTGTGTCGATGTCGGCGCTGTTACTCGATTCAAAACTCTTCTCGATGCGTGTCAATCCCATCGCGTCTCGGATTCTATTCAGCTACTTCCGGGACTATCCGAGCGAATGTGTCAGGACTCCGAGTCTGTTCGATTATTCTCCCCTGCTTTTGGGATGTTCAGTCGTCACACATTGAAAAGCTGGGCAACTAGACTCAATCATTGCAGAACAACCATTTTCAAGCAATTGTTGGCCTTTGGTTGCCTGTCGGAGGGTCGGGAACTGTCTCAATGCGAGCATGGCTGTCTCGAAGTTCGCAAATTCATGATAGATGATTGGTATACGAGTTGCACACTAAACAAGCGTAAGAGCGAGTCAAGGAAGCATGTCGAATTATACCTGGAGCTGTTGAAGTGCAATGGGGCTGGGTCTGAGCCACTGTTGATCTGGAGAACTGATGTGAGCAGCAGGCCGCACACACTGGTTGTACGTATTCTTCATAAGTTCGCTGCAGTCCTTATGGTAAAATTTCAGATTACCAAGACTTCCCACCAACTTTGCTGGAATTTCCGGCGGCAAATCGCACATGCTAAAGGACATCTGTCGACTATCGGCCCACTTGAAGCCCGGCGCATTCTGGGGACAGACCATGACTTTATCGTCAATGAAATTGAAACGGCGTCATGGCCAAAACTACCAGTGGACGCTGAGCTACCCATGTGTGCTGAATCGTCCACTGCAAACAAGCGACCAGCAAATGCAGGCTCGTCGGAGGGGCCGGCAGCGAAAAGGGCCAGGTCTGAGATGTCTTCGAATGCAACTGATGAGGATGAACTTGGCGACGATAGCGACGCTGACTCGGACTGGCGACCTGAGTCACGCTCCAAGCTTCATTGATTTGGCCCTTGAGAGTTAACTGTATCACTTATCTATTATTCAAACTAGTATTTATCGTGTACATAGCATCGAGCTTAACATTGGCGCCGATCGGCATTGACAGCGAAGGCTCTTTGCCGTGGCGCCGGGCCGGCGACTGCTCGAACCAGTCCGGTCCGGTGCCGAGCCATGCATATAATTTGTTGTTGGGAAGTTTTTTCCTGCTCTGCACTTGCACCGAGTCTTCAATGTTAACTATTCGGAGTCGAAGCTTTACAGTGATTTAGTCCACTGCCGCCAATGTTCTCTGACTTTCCTTTCATAGCCATGGCGATTCGTCGAGATTTGTTGCAGCACGGTCATGTTACCTTGTGACACTCGACGCGTTGAACCACGACCATGCCTGAGACGCATTCGACACAAGCTCACTATCTTGTCGTCTCTGCGCTGGTTCAAGGCCTCCAAGATGACCGAAACGACCCCTCTACTCTCTTCCGCCTCCTCACGAACGCTCTCAAGGCAGCTGGAGTTGATGCAGAGAAGCGTGCAATAGAGCTGGTGGGGCTGGAAGGGTATAGAATGCTCTACGAAAGGCTTCCCTGGGAGGCTATCGAACAGTTGTGAGTAGCTCTCGGTATGTGACTGTGGTCGTTGGCTCACCCCCCTCGGTAGCATGGCGCAAGCCTTGACGAATGACGAGTCTGTCGATCGACGACGCGAACTGATCACTCTCCTCGACCAACTGGGTGTTGATGCTAAAGCTCCAGAATGGCGCCGTATATGCTCCCTAAGAGTCTTCGCTTTCCAAGATGCGACTGAAATGCAGTGGTTGTTGGAGGAGGTTGTCTCTAGGGGCGTAGACGCGTTTATCCAAATGTACGTGACCAGCTCGACCCCTTCAATTGCGGGCACTTAACCAACCCCACAGCGCCGTTCCGGTGCTGGAATCCAGAAAGCTTTCTCAATTCTTCTGGGTGACATTTATTCACACACTTCGCGACAACGAAAAGAGATTGCCAAAATACGCAGCCGCACAGCTGGTTACTCGATGCATCAAATCCATAGTATACGACCTACCCGCGTTTCCCACCCCAACAACATGCTATCCGACTGGAGAGAATATGACTGGCGAGGAAAATTTACTCAAGATCGTGAAGCTTTGCCACGAAACGGACAACATCGAACATACGTCTCCGATCTTCGTGAAGATGCGCCGAGCTCTGCGACAGGAACCAAACGGAGATTACAAATCATTCTACCTCGCTCTTGCGCGTCTGGCCACGGAAGTCGTCACATCGAACGATCCAATAATGCGATGGCATGTCGAAACATATCAGGAGCTCTTGACGGACACGCTTGAATCAACCCTTCATATTCCCCACCCAAAGTGCCAAGGCTGCCAACGCGAGTCCGGCCTCCTCCAACGATTGGCACGTAATCGAACCGTCTTGCATCAACACTCTACGGAATCTAATATCAAGCGAGGATGCGACGTGTTGAGCCAAGAAAACATTCCTACGATCCTTCTTATTATCAAGGCTCTTGGTGGGATTCAAAGTTTGCAACGATTGTGAGTCTTGAGTGATATCTTCGTTGTTATTTGAACCTCAGCTCCTAGCGCAAGTAGCACGCCCAATACCTTCACAAAGCATGACCGCGCTGTAGTGGAGACTTTTGCTAGGGAGGTCGCCGCACGATTCAAACCCCAGCAAGACCACGGAAATGGTCAAGATGTGTACGATCCGATAATTAGCGCTATAATTGCCACGAGTGGTTTGCTCACCAAGTCAGAACTCGCAACTTCCTTCCAGCTATGCTTTGATGTTGGCGCTATCACCCAATTCAAGACACTCCTCGAGACGCCCCACCATCAGAGCGTGAACACCCTTGACTTGATTCTGCAGTTGGGCGAGTGCATGCGAAATGACGCTATTCTCGCTGCACCATTTTCTCCGGCGTTTGAAGTATTCGCTCGAAAGACGCTCAAAGGCTTTGCAACGACGCTTAATGTCTACAGGACCACCATCCGGGCGCGACTAGCGACTTTCGGTTGCCCATCATGTGACGTATGTGAGCACGGATGTTCTGAAGTTCGGGAACTTGTGACAGGCGACTTGAATGGATTCGGTACCGTTAGGATCGCGCGCAAAAGTGAGTCGCGAAGACATGTTGAAACATATTTGCAGCGGTTCAAGTCCAAATGTTCTCGTGACTTGCTGTCCTGGGAGACCCATGATTGGAGTAGGACCCACACCCTCGTCGTGAGTGCTGGAAACTTATATGCAAAAGTGGCTTCAGCTTTTCAAGGTTGAGAAGACATCCGATCCACTTTGGAATCTTGATAAGGATATTCCCCACGCTAAAGATTGCCTTGCTGCTCTCGGGCAAGTCGAAGACCAGAAACGTATCTTGGGCGCAGAGTATGCCTTCATCGTGGAAGAGATCAGCAAAGTGCACCCAGGCTGTGGAAATTCCATGAGCACTAGCACTGGCAGTGTCAATGTGGCGAAGCGAACGGCGAGTGCTCCGTCATCGAGCGAGGGCCCGTCGAAGAAGGCAAGGATTTCCATTGACGACGAGACCGCACTTTCGAGTCTCTATTAGTTCTGAGTCGAATACTTGCATGGTGAGTTTTGACTAATGCCCAATAGTATAGAATAGCTGTAGCAAGAGTATCATGAGTATAGTGTACCTGGACAAGGGAAGACTGAGTATTCAATAATCAATTCTAATTTCTTGGATTCGGATTCAGGATGATTTGGTAATGTGACATGGCGTGACCATTACATCACACATTTTTTGAAGAATGACCTCCATCATCCACCAGCGAACCATACCGTTTGTGACCAGTTAATTGACACCATGTGCGCGAAAGGCCAAGACGCAAGGCCCCGGTGGTTCCTTGACCAAAGCAGATCGGATGTATGCCCTTTCAATCTGGCCCTGTAAACTGCCAGTGATCTTGCACTTGGACTCTGACGTTTGGTTGTTTCCGCCAGAATTGAACTATAAGTGCCGCTCTGCTCTTCTCAATGACGGCGACACATCACCACCATGCATTTCGCCCTTTTTCTTTGCGCTTTGGCGGCTTGGCCAGTAGCTTATGCACAAACAACGAGCAACACCAAGTTCAGCACCGTCACGACCACTGGCAAGATTCCATCTCCAACTCGTCAGTTTCCCGCTCTTTCTCTGATAGAAAGCTACAGCTAAAGGCTTTGTAGAACCGACGGTAGCCGACCGCCACTCAGCATTCGGGACTGGTACTCATTCCGCTTCGAGTACCATTTGTCTGCAGGCTGATGGCCTGGCAATCGTCTCTAGTTGTTGGCCAATGGGTAACGGAAAACCAGTGGACGGGCAACGAGGGTTCTCAGAACCTTCCTGTGCTTTTGATTCCGACCGTTAACACCAGCTCTACGATTGCCGATTCACCGGTGCGGGTTCAGTTGGCTGCGGGGTATTTTGAGGTGACAATTTCGTGCTCTCACGACTAAGCTACTCAAGCCTCGATAGGTTGACACGATTTACAGCACTGGGAGTAATTTCCTCCGGAACACCACCGTTTCCTTGATGATTCCACTTTGGGGTACCACAAATCTCTCCGGACCGTTCGATATACCTCTCAGTCCACCCGTCGATATTCCCGTGTCAATCCCCGGTACTCAAATCAATGGGACTATCACATTCTTTCTCGATCCAACCACCAAATCCGAGATTCTTATGGCATGGAAAGTCTACACACCTTTCTCCGGCAGACTTGACGAGCGTGGTCTAAGCGTGTTCCCTCAACTGTACCCGTTTCATCGTCAAGCAGTGACCCGCAGTGGCTAAGAGTTCGTTAGTATCAACAGCCATTTCACGCAAGCACAACTGCAGGTTAGAATTCTTCTTAATCCACTCCCGATCTATTCAGACCGTTGATGGACCCAGGGAATCCGACACTTTACTGAGGCGGAACTAAAGACACTCTCCAGTCCCCCAACGCCTTTCACCTTTGATTCCGCTTTTTCTGGTAAGCGCAGAAATACTTATCTCTTGTCAATTTTCTCACAATTGTCGTAGCCCCGACTCCCGAACAAATGCGTAAGCCTATGCAACGAAACAGTAACACACATCACTCAAAGCGCGGAAGTTTTACAGGAGTTCATCACTAACTTCGTGGAGGGGAACTCTTCGACTGTTGCGATCCAGACTTATGGTCCTTCTTCGAATCAATATACTGTGGACGTATCCTTTTTGAATAGCGTCCTCGAGGTATGTCATCCCCTTTGCTTGGCGCAAGGGCTGATGTACGCTAAAGATCACTGGAAATATCGACCCCAAGACTCTGGTTGGTTCTTTAGATATATTCGGCAAATTCCCGCTCGCTGGACGCGTTCACCTAACCAAAATGGAAGGGAATTTGATTTCCAGGCTCGTCGCAATAATCAATGAAAGGCTGGCCACGGGCTCGGTGACCATTTGGGCCGATAATCCAACCGGCCTCTACGATCTTTATATCGAGGCGTCGCTGCAGTTCCAGTTCCTTGGGATGTTTGACACGTTTGGGCCGTATAAGATCTTAACGCTCCCGTAAGTCTCTCCGAAGCTTGTGGCGGGGCTGAACTGTTGTATATAGGTTCTAGGGACCAGTATCACTGGCAACTGGACACTGGATTGCCAGTGGATGAGTGAAGTGGTAGTACTTACATACTGGGCAGTAGAGCGACTAAGACTGGGTGTTGAATGTAACTTAATCCAAAATGGATTGACTTGAGTGGCTCAACAACCTGAATCTTGCGAGGAGTGTAGTATTGTTTTGGAACCCAGAGTTGACTCGAATAACGGAGAGTCGTCGGAGACTCCGACGTGAATTTCCATTCAGGCGAAATTGAGTTGAGATTGTTATCGCCAATGTTTGGGAGATCATCGAGCAATCAAGGGCCAGAGAGTATTGCAGGGAAACTGGAGTGGAACACTGTGGAACACCGCCGAGCTGAGAAGAGTAGAGAAGAGAGCAACCAAGTCATCTGACCGTGTCAGTTTGTGATTGCCGAACAGGCACACGTCAAAGACGGCTTGCCAACAACCTTCAACACGACCCAAACACAACCTTGAACAACATCCCAAGCAGTCGGTGGACACAATCCATTGACGGGTCGATGTAACAAGAAATTCAAGCGTTAGGCTTCTCGCCCTGTAAACTGATTCAACGCCGCAGCCGGTGTCGAAATTGAGGACATGGCCACAAGGAAGGTGGACACTCCCCTGGTTCGTGGTCTACTGCGAAGCAAGAGTATATTGAAACTGATAATCTACAGATAACCGAATCAAACTTGCCATTCAGCGCTGGCCGACGAGGGTCGAATGGTGCAGACCCTGACCCTGGAAATCTTTTCCTCCTTGATCTTATTGCGCCAGTCTTGGTCTTGGAAGCGGAATAATACGACCTTACTGTCCAGAAAGGCGAGTATAAGAGCGAAGACAAACCAGAACGAAGCCCAACTTCAACTTGCTCGACTCAAGTCAAGATGAAATCTGCTCTGCTTCAAATCGTCGCTCTTTGCCTTGCCACCGGCTTTGCTTCTACATTGACGGCTGCTGGCCCGACCACCACTACCGCTAAGCCGGGCACCACGACTACCAAGCCGGCCGGACCTGCGACGACAAGCACTTCCACCATCGGAGCAGGTCCTACTCGTTCGTTAGCATTGTCTTACTGAAGTAACTATTAACATTGACTCAGAAGCGCCATCGCTTTCCGATGCGCCGAGCTCATATGCGGCTTTTGGCTCGGGTGAGTCTATTCTTCGCCGTCCTACGTCTTCTCATATTTCGCAACAGTTGTCAGCAAGTGGGCTACGCAGAACGAATGGGTCGGTAAAGAAGGATCCGACAACTTGCCCGTGCTGCTCATTCCTACGGCAAATACCAGCTCTCCCAGCGATACAGCCCCAGTCCGAGTGCAATTTGGTTCTGGATATTTCGAGGTTTGTTGTTTGTCAAAGATGCCTTCCAGTCATGAACAACCGTATAGGTCGACACGATCTACAGTAGTGGAAGCAACTTCCTTCGCAACACGACCGTCTCTATTCTTGTCCCACTTTGGGGCCTCACCAATCTTTCTGGACCACTCGACATTCCGCTCAGTCCTCCGGTCGACATTCCTGTGGCCATCCCCGGCACTCAGATCAATGGAACTATTACCTTCTTCCTTGATCCGACCACAAAAAGCGAAGTCCTCATGGGCTGGAAGCTCTTCACTCCTTTTGCCGGCAATCTTGATGAGAAGGGCCTCAGCGTCTTCCCCGACAAGTATGTGGTTTGATTGTGATTTGCCATTGCTTACAGAAGTTAGACTCAACACCTATTTCTCTCAAGCGCAACTCGAGGGCACTCGCCAATTCACGGACGCTGAACTCAAAGCACTCAGCAATCCTCCTGCCAAGCTCGTCCTCGATCCTAATGTCGGCTTTGCTAGTGAGTACTAAGAGCTTTCATGTTGCTAAAACTAACTCGTGTTAGACCCGAATCCCGAGCAAAAGCGTGAGTTGATTCAATCCTAAGCAATTGCTTAGCTTATCGTGCACAGTCCTCCAAGAGTTCATCAACAACTACGTCGACCCCAGCACTTCCACAACTGCTATTCAGACCTTCGGTGCTTCCACCAGCGGGTACACCGTCGACGTCTCCTTCTTGAGTATTCTCGAACTCTCGGGAAATGTGGACCCGTCCTCGCTCTCCGCCTCGGTCACGCTCTACGTCAAAATCCCGCTCGCGGGTCGCATCAGCCTGACGAAAATTGAGGGCAGCTTGATCAACGGTATCACGGCCAACATCAATGTGATATTGGCGAGCGGTAGGGCGACCATATCTGCCCCAGTTGGTCCATCGGGCAAGCACGACCTTACAATCGACGCCACGCTCAGCATCCAATTTGTGGGCGACTTTGGAACTGGTGGAAAACACAAGATCTTGACCCTTCCGTGAGTGGCTGCCGTTTTCTCTTCGAACAGTGTTGACATTGAATCCCAGTTTCTAACGGTCCCAGAGCAAACCAGTAGTACTCGTGTATTTTACTACAAACCAATATTTATGTCTTTAGCTTTTGATTGACCGGCCATCTTTGCCTCCGACCGCCACTGCCAACAATGTCGAGGAGACAAGCTAAATGCACCGCACTACCGCCACTACCACAAATCTATCCTCTTTCACGATGTACCAGGCGACCGATGGTCCCAACTCCAGACCGGTTGTAACTGAACGTGAGTCAAGACTCGTCTTTCGCATCGTTCCCTAAGCACCTGACAGAACCCCGTCCAACAACACCATTGCACTATCCTGGTACGAGGCCTATGGGATTCCTTTCCTACCTACTCACTGCCTATCAGACACCAAAACCAAAGTCATTCGAACGCTCGCTCTTCCTCTCCGGACACCCGTCTGCGTTTGCGACTGCCTCGGCCATTCTCTTGCCATCACCGTCGGCAGCCTCTTCAGCACCCGCAACGATCTCGACTCGCTCGTTGGCCAAGAGATGCGGAGTGCCGCCTGCTGTACCCATACTGTCGCGCCGTGTTGTCCACGAGTTTGTATGAATCCGCAAGAAACGGAGGAGGACAGGGCGGAGGGAAGGGTTGCGTTGGATTGCGCAGAGATTTGGTGTCGGGCAAACCAAAAAGTTCCAGTTTTGCAGGTCGTTTCGGCGGTGGTCTGCTTCCCATGCTGGTTATCGTTGTTCGTCTACGTGCGAACCCGATAGTATGCGGTGCGTTGACTCTTCTCTTATGTAGATGAGGTCGTTTATTTTCTTGGCCGACTAGTGAAATCTACATATTCCACTCTACACACTCATTGTCCTGCCACAAATGCTTTCTCCAAAAACCCGTCCCTCAAAAGCCCCGCGACCGTTGCATTCTGCACAAAATACTGCGTTCCCTGCCCTGGCTGGTCAAACCACGCGGCAATTGGCCCAGACCGCACATCAAACGGCTTCAAGACGCGGTAAATGTGGTAGTCGTATCTCGTTGTGGCGTTTGCGCCCTGTGGTGGGTTCAGACTTGCAGGAGGCAACGCGCGTTGTGAGAAAGGGGTTCCATATGGCGCCAAATATTGTCCTGTCTCCTTGCCGAATCGGTCAAGAAGCATTCCTCTTTCCAGCTCCTGGATCCCTGATATCGGCACTTCCAACTGGCTTTGCGCTGCTGGCTCGATGGGAAGCCCTGTTTGGGGGTTCATTTGGACTGGCGCGGGGGGGACTTGCGCTTGAAGCTGGAAACCATCCTCGTCAGGGTAGATGAAGAAGCCCGTCGTCGCATTGGTATATTTCGCCAGCCACTCGCCTGGACACAGACCGCCAAGTCGGTCGTAGTCAAGTGCGCCGCGCAGCAATTTTGGGACAACGCGATCCGGCTGAGTTGCCGTCGCGGCCTGCAGGAGTGATGGGAAAAGATTGGTTGGGCCCAAGCGATAGTCGCCACAGTCGTATGTTAAGACGAGTGATGCGTTGTAGGAGGTACCAGCACAAGTGCAGAAACCCCCAGAAGCGGACCGGGAGACAGAGAGAGCGGCTGCAGCGGCGGTTTTGGAGTCCTACACATCAACATCATTAGGCGCTAATACTGTCTTGTTGACCGATGAACTTACGGGTGCGGCAACTGTAAGCGACAGTAGGCTACTGCCCAGAAGAAGCGTTAGGATAGTTGCCTGCATCGAACTGGAGAGCTGGGCTGCTGTGTGCTCCACAAGGCCTCCGCTTTTATACGTCTCAGTCCGAATAAAAAACTACGTTTGGTGACGGCAAGCGGGCAGCATGCACTGGGACGAAGCACCGACAGCGGTCCGATACCATTTAGGTTGTCAGAACATCAAGGGGAAAGAAGGAGCGAGAGAAGTATTCTCAGTGGATCATCTGGATGCACAAAGATATTACCGTCTATTGCTAGCTACAACTGGTCGTGCCAGCGAACCGTAATCAAATTCGGCTCCAGCCCTATGCTCTCTGACGCGTTGTCTATTGGGATTTGCTGAAGCGAATATGTCGAGCCAATCATTCGAGCATTCAGTACTACCGTGCAGTCTGCTTTTGCATGTCAATTGTCACCCAAATCGTTCTTCACCATACTGTACTACTGTTCGTGTCACGTGTGCGCGTTACAATCATCGAATGACATTGATGGCCGAACATGTTGGCGCCAAGCAACGGCGCTTGCGCTGAGGCAATGCGCTCTGTCTTGACAGGAAGCGGTCTCATCGTCGTATCTCACGATCTGCGGTCCGAAGTCCAAGGTGGCATGCGAGTAACTGTAACTTGATTGCCTCTCGCCGTCCAACGGCCGGTGCAAAAATTGGGTGATGTGATTATAAGTCCTTCCAAGGAGGAAACCAACAACTTGGAGTAAATGCTCTGTTTCTCATTCACAATTGACCGCCCAACCACCAGATTTAACCCCATGTCCGATATGGCCTGGATCTCCGTTGTAACACGGACCATCTGCGAAGAGTCAATTCCGGCAGCGAAGACTGCTCAAGGATAGACCGCGTGGCTGTCGATATAAGACACACTTGTCTCGAAACGACATCCTCAACTAGAAAATGGCAAAGGTCATCATCGTCGGCTGTGGAATTGCGGGGCCAGTGCTGGCTCTCCTTCTCAAGCAAAAAGGCTTCGACCCTGTTGTCTACGAGCGCGGCCCAAGAGCGCCTGATGCCGGGCTCAGTCTCATGTATGTCTCGCTGATCTGTCCATTCGTTTTGCCGCTGAAAAGCTTTCCTCAGGCTGCAGTCAAATGGCCTCAAAGTGCTGGATCTTATTCCAGGACTCGTTGACCGGCTCCCTGGTCGGGCAATCGAACAAACACGACTCTTCTCCATCCTTCCCTCCGACCTGCGCCTCCTCGCACAATCTGAATCTGTCACCGAAAAGGGCAAAGTGAGCAAGATGGGTGTAAACCGCCCGAAATTGCTGGCGTTGCTATCAGACGTACTTGAAGAGCACGGGATACCTGTCCACTTCGATACGGCAGTCATTGACGTAGAGCTGTCCTTGGCTGATGACGTGGTCGTCCATTTGAGTAACGGGACTATAGACTCTGCGCCACTAGTCATTGGATGCGATGGCCTCCACAGTGCTGTTCGCAAATCGCTCTTCGGCGAGCAAAAACCGGTTTTCACTGGGTTGACACAGGTCTTTCTTCTTGGACACCAACCCCGATGCTCATTGACGATGGCCTATAGACGGGAGGCGTCACCACTAACGCATTTCCTGGTATCCCACCCACCATGCACAACTTTTACGGAGATAATTTGCACGTCATCGCCTATCCAATATCTGACTCCGGCGACTATTCGTGGGCGTAAGTGGAAATTTATGAACCACGCATCTAATCAACTAAGCACCTGCACAGTATCACCGAGCGTGGCCCCGAAGCGAAAGAAACCTGGCGCGCGATGGACCAAGAGGCACAGAATGCATTTAAAACGGGACCATTCTCAAGCCTCCCGCTTGGTGTTGGTCAACTTCTAGAGAAGGCACAGAAGATAACCAAGGCAAGCTTTCCAGAAGGATATCTTCTCCTGCTCATCTTCGTGTGCAGTATGGACTCTATGACCGTCCCGCGCTGTCCTCGTGGCATCAGGGCCGAGTCCTGCTTATTGGAGATGCCGCACATCCCACCAGCCCCGTTCGTGTCTAGTATCTCCGTCAGAAAACCTCTAAGATCTTCTATAGCATCTTGGCCAAGGGGCAAACCAAGCCTTCGAAGACGTATCACTTCTCTCCAACCTACTCGACGCGTCTGACCTGTCTCTGGCGACACTGTCCTCGGCCTTTTCCTCGTTTGAAGCAGAGCGCATGACACGGACAGCAGAGCTTGTCAATGCAGCACGAGAGGCGGGAGAACTCCGTGTCGTTGCGGGCGAAGAGGCAGCCAGGCAGCGCAATGAGAAAATCTCAGCTAGTCGTCGGGAATGGGGAGGAATCCCTGCAGCATAGCTAATTGACATCTCAAAGTCGATTCAGGTAAATATTGAAATGATATTCCTTCAACTACTCCGAGTCTTCTTTGGGGATTTCCCAGTTCCAGCTGTCGAGACAAATCTAACCTTCGGCGTCGGTGGTGCCAGAGGAAGATTTTCCGCTCGTAAATGATCGTTGGCGTGGATATAGAATCCCGAGGAACTGGCAAGCCTCTGTCGTTGGGGTTGTGGTGGTGGTGGCTGAGGAGTCGCTCGTACGGGTGCATCATAAAGAAGTTGAGGAAGCTGGGCAAGAATTTGCTGCGAGGGTGCAGGAGCCGTGGGCGACCGCGACTGAAAAGTTATGTGTGAGTTCAAATTTGCGTGAACTCGAGGAAAAATATGCAGACCCTTCTGGCGACAGCACTACTGTCAACGTTCTGGGTATCAGAGTGCGACTGGAGATGTGGGGAGAACATTTGTGGCTGTCGAGCGCCAAATTACTCGATAATATTGTCATTCATCGACACGCACTTTTATACTCTCTGGGTCTTGCTCAAAGCATGAACGCCTGGACTTGAAGGTCTTGTCATGACGAGTCGCATCGTGCAAAAGCCCAATATGGCCAAAGCTTGCTGCTTGGACCGCCTATGGAGAACAACAACTTTAACTTGCTTCAGCCAAGCCTGGTCAGAGCTTGATGTCTGTGCTCAGACATCGGCGTCTGTTTAAGTGGCGGAGTGGCGCAAGTTGTCCCTGCAGGGCCATTGCCGGTTGTCTGCTCGCCGTCACCAAAACCGTGTCTACTGAGACGCCGGTGAAGGACTTAGGCATGGGTATAAAAATGAGCCCCTGGACAACTTTTCTAGCTATAGCGCGCCAACTGGAACGACTATTCTGTTATGCGGACAACCTCTCTTGTCTTTTTCACGCTCCTCTGGAAACAAGGGTATTTCCGAGCAAAATATCGCTGGAGAACAAGTCGTTAGTGATCAGTCTACCTAGGGCTTGTCCACTCACTTTTGCCCAAGCAGCATCAGGACTGTCCTTCTACAGAATAGCTGGGGGGCAAGTTTGCACGTGCGACGGCACCGCCTATAACGCCTCCATTCTCCACGAATATGACTGCAGCGATTCTCGCTTGGGACCAAAAATGCTATATCCGAAATGGGAAGACCGCATTGCACCGAAGCTTCTTCGTGGTTCCATGGAATACGATCGTTTTGGCGGCTTTGTCCAGGAGAGTGGCTTGCCAAATTCACCGACGCAACGACTGGCTACTTCATCTACCCAGACGAGAATGGATTCCAGCTACAGCCACAGGGAGGGCATTCACAAATGAACGCAAGTGCTGGGCTCCCTGTTGACCCAAACGGACCAGAAATCGACCAAGAGGCACCGATATGGGGACTGCAGCAGTTGGTGAAAGGAATGCTGCTGACCGGTTTGGCCGGGAATCAGGCCGATATTTGGCTCCATATGGAACACCATTTGCGCAACGGGCGCTCCCTCCCGCCAGCTTGAATCCACCTTCAACGGGTGACATGAAATCGAGATACGACTACCACGTTTACCGCGTCTTGAAACCATTCGACGTGCGCTCTGGTCCGATAGCAGCATGGTTTGGCCAACCTGGACAAGGGACACAGTATTACGTCCAGAATACAAGTATAGAGGAGCTCTTGAATGAGGGGTACTTGGAGAAGGCGGTCATCGTTGCCACAGAGGGAGAGGGTGTTGTGAACGAGGACTAAATGTGAAGTTGGGCCGTGTTATATAGACTGATGTTTCTCGTGGAATTCAAGCAACGAGTTACAACTCTGACCAACGATGAGCGGGATCGACAAGGAAAAAGGACCAACAACATACTCTATTTACCTGGTTCGCACGTAGACGAACAACGATAACCAGCATGGGAAGCAGGCCACCGCCGAAACGACCTGCAAAACGGGAACTTTTTGGTTTGCCCGACAACAAATCTCTGCGCAATCCAACGCAACCCTTCCCTCCGCTCTGTCCTCCCCGGTTTCTTGCCGATTCATACAAACTCGTGGACAACACGGCGCGACAGTATGGGTACAGCAGGCGGCACTCCGCATCTCTTGGCCAACGAGCGAGTCGAGGTCGTTGCGGGTGCTGAAGAGGCTGCCGACGGTGATGGCAAGAGAATGGCCGAGGCAGTCGCAAACACAGACGGGCGTCCGGAGTGGGAGAGCGAGCGTTCGAATGACTTTGGTTTTGGTGTCTTATAGGCAGTGAGTAGGTAGAAAAGGAATCCCATAGGCCTCGTACCAGGATAGTGCAATAGCGTTGTTGGACGGGGTTCTACACAATGACAAGTTGTTTGGCTGATGTTGCAAAACTGCGTCTTGAGACTTGACTCACGTTCAGTTACAACCGGTCTGGAGTTGGTACCATCGGTCGCCTGGTACATCGCGAAGAGGAAGGAAGACTTGTGGTAGTGGCGGTAGTGCGGTGCATTTAGCTTGTCCGCTCGACATTGTTCGCAGTGGTGGTCGGAGACAAGGATTGCCGGTCAGTCAAAAAGTTGTACATAATAGGAAAATAAATATTGGTTTGTAGTAAAATACACGAGTACTACTTGTTTGCTCTAGGACCGTTAGAAACTGGGATTCAATGTCAACACTGTTCGAAGAGAAAACGGCAGCCACTCACGGAAGGGTCAAGATCTTGTGTTTTCCACCAGTGCCAAAGTCGCCAACAAATTGGATGCTGAGCGTGGCGTCGATTGTGAGGTCGTGCTTGCCCGACGGACCAACTGGGGCAGATATGGTAGCCCTGCCGCTCGCCAGTATCACATTGATGTTGGCCGTGATACCGTTGATCAAGCTGCCCTCAATTTTCGTCAGGCTGATGCGACCTGCGAGCGGAATTTTGACGTAGAGCGTGACCGAGGCGGAGAGCGAGGAAGGGTCCACATTTCCCGAGAGTTCGAGAATACTCAAGAAGGAGACGTCGACGGTGTACCCGCTGGTGGAAGCACCGAAGGTCTGAATGGCAGTCGTGGAAGTGTTGGGGTCGACGTAGTTGTTGATGAACTCTTGGAGGACTGTGCACGATAAGCTAAGCAGTTGTTTAGGATTGAATCAACTCACGCTTTTGCTCGGGATTCGGGTCTAACACGAGTTAGTTTTAGCAACATGAAAGCTCTTAGTACTCACTAGCAAAGCCGACATTAGGATCGAGGACGAGCTTGGCAGGAGGATTGCTGAGTGCTTTGAGTTCAGCGTCCGTGAATTGGCGAGTGCCCTCGAGTTGCGCTTGAGAGAAATAGGTGTTGAGTCTAACTTCTGTAAGCAATGACAAATCACAATCAAACCACATACTTGTCGGGGAAGACGCTGAGGCCCTTCTCATCAAGATTGCCGGCAAAAGGAGTGAAGAGCTTCCAGCCCATGAGGACTTCGCTTTTTGTGGTCGGATCAAGGAAGAAGGTAATAGTTCCATTGATCTGAGTGCCGGGGATGGCCACGGGAATGTCGACCGGAGGACTGAGCGGAATGTCGAGTGGTCCAGAAAGATTGGTGAGGCCCCAAAGTGGGACAAGAATAGAGACGGTCGTGTTGCGAAGGAAGTTGCTTCCACTACTGTAGATCGTGTCGACCTATACGGTTGTTCATAAGTGGAAGGCATCTTTGACATACAACAAACCTCGAAATATCCAGAACCAAATTGCACTCGGACTGGGGCTGTATCGCTGGGAGAGCTGGTATTTGCCGTAGGAATGAGCAGCACGGGCAAGTTGTCGGATCCTTCTTTACCGACCCATTCGTTCTGCGTAGCCCACTTGCTGACAACTGTTGCGAAATATGAGAAGACGTAGGACGGCGAAGAATCGACAGACCCGAGCCAAAAGCCGCATATGAGCTCGGCGCATCGGAAAGCGATGGCGCTTCTGAGTCAATGTTAATAGTTACTTCAGTAAGAAAATGCTAACGAACGAGTAGGACCTGCTCCGATGGTGGAAGTGCTTGTCGTCGCAGGTCCGGCCGGCTTGGTAGTCGTGGTGCCCGGCTTAGCGGTAGTGGTGGTCGGGCCAGCAGCCGTCAATGTAGAAGCAAAGCCGGTGGCAAGGCAAAGAGCGACGATTTGAAGCAGAGCAGATTTCATCTTGACTTGAGTCGAGCAAGTTGAAGTTGGGCTTCGTTCTGGTTTGTCTTCACTCTTATACTCGCCTTTCTGGACAGTAAGGTCGTATTATTCCGCTTCCAAGACCAAGACTGGCGCAATAAGGTCAAGGAGGAAAATATTTCCAGGGTCAGGGTCTGCACCATCCCTCGTCGGCCAGCGCTGAATGGCAAGTTTGATTCGGTTATCTGTAGATTATCAGTTTCAATATACTTTTGCTTCGCAGTAGACCACGAACCAGGGGAGTGTCCACCTTCCTTGTGGCCAAGTCCTCACTTTCGACACGTTGGATCAGTTTACAGGGCGAGAACCCTAAGACTTGAATCTCTTGTTGCATCAACCCGTCAATGGATCGTGTTCAGGAAGTGCTTGGGATGTTGTTCAAGGTCGTGGTTGTTGACAAGCTACCGCGCTCTACCGTGTGCCTGTTCGGCAATCACAAGACGGACGCGGTCAGATGATTTTACTCTCAACTAATCCAGATGATTCTACACACATCTCCACTCTGAGACAAGAAAGCTAATCCGTCAAGTTCAAGTCAACCACTATCAGGAGTTCAGACGACAAAGGTGCAGCGCAGCCCGCAGTGGTCATTCCAGGGTGTTGTCAAAACGACCAGCTTCCATGTGGACTTACGACCTTGTCGAGCCGGGCCGGCTGGAGGCCGTCGTCGAGGTCGACGCCAACGCCCTACGTCGGCCCGGGGAGCTTGACCGCACGCGTCGAGCAGCCTGTGTTGGCTGGGATCGTAGGGCTCAAAGGCGTTGAAACTCCCTGCGATGACGCCGCCGCCGCACCCGGCCTCGCGGAGGAGGGCATCCATTAGGTACAACTGGAAGCCACGTCGGAAGGCGGCGTCGAGCGATTCGAGGTATGATGTGTCAAAGGGATATGTGACGCCCTGTGATGCCGTGACACATCCACCCTCTCCCGAAGTTTACATCGACGAGAAGATAACACAAAATCTGGTCAGAGCCAAGCCAGAAATGATTGTCGAGTGCCAGCCGAAACTCGGTGTGCTGTGGCATCGATAAGATTGACCCACTCTTAACTATTCATATCCGGCGCTCAACGTCAAGATGGGTCAAATGTTCCCAACGGCGGGCAATAACTGCTTATGTGCTAGAGCCTGTACCTCGGAAGCTGGTGGCTCAGTGAAACCACCATAAAACCCATGTTCGGTAGTTCCTCAACTTCGGTTCGTCATCATTCTCATGGCCTCCATCCTACCTGATTCAACGACAGTATGCATCGTTGGCGCAGGACCCAGTGGGTTAGCGTGCGCTCTCGGTCTTGCCGCCAGAAAAGTGCCGTTTGTCGTTGTCGATGCGCTCGAGTCGGGCCACAATAGCTCGCGGGCAGTCGCAATGCAGCCAGGCGCCTTAGAAGTGTGTCTTTGAAAGTCTTTGTGATCACCCCGCTAATAAAATTTTACAGGCTCTCAACTGGACCCATCCTAACCTAGCTAGTGAGCTCGCCTCTGAAGGCGTCCAGTCTGGAGTGGTCCAAAGCATCGATGTCTACGAGCGACCCGTCTTGCAGATACGCATGCACGATCTCGCGCCTTACACCAAATTCCCCTTCGTTCTCCTCATGCCCCAACACAAATTCGAGCAACGGATGCACGAGGCTCTTCCGAATGGAGTCGTGTATTGGCGGAAGAAGGTTTTAGGCATGCGAGAGAGCGGGGACCACTACGAATTGTCATTCGAATCCGGCGAAAAACTGACCGCGAAGTATGTCGTTGCGGCAGACGGGACGAAATCCACCATCCGTCAATTCGCTGGTATCAAATACCTCAACCCATTTACCGGCAACGAGTCTACTCCCGCAAGTAACGACCCATCATTTGTTGTTGCCGACGTCCTCTTTGAAGAACCAGTACCACCAAATCTTCCGCGAGATGGACTGCAAGTGATGGTTGGCGGTGGAGGCATGGTCTTGACAGCGCCGTTGCAGTCCGATGACCAAAAAAAGAACTTCTACAGACTCTATCTCGGGGTTTCCACTACGCCTCCACCTTCTCCGGATGCAGCCTATCTGCAGGCCGCGCTCAATACTCATGGACCGGGGTCGCATAACAAGAGCTACCCAGTGCCAAGAATCATGACTGTTCTGGAGAGTTCGCGTTTCCAGACCAGGCGGGCTCTCGCTGAGCAATATGTCCAGCAATCTTCTGGAGAAGCGTGTATTTTGCTGGTCGGAGATGCAGCGCATACTCACGGCCCTGGCGGTGCTCAAGGGATGCATTTGGCACGTATTCTTGTCTCCTTTCTTGCAAGGGTACTGACTACTAGTATAGGGTGTTTGCGATGGCTGTGAACTTGCGGAGGCCATATCAACTGGCTCACTCGAAAAGTTGAATGCTTGGGGTGTTCGTAGACGAGCCGTAGCTCGTGAAGTTATCGATATGGTCGAGGGGATCATGGAGGTGGAGCAAGGTAGGATGGACTGGGTGTCGTGGATACGGATGAACGTAATGTGGTTGGTGGCCAAGCTTCCGTTCGTGAATGGGGCATTGGCATGGAGAATGAGTGGGCTCGTACATTTGCCGAAGAGACCCGGTAAGTAGTGGGAGAGGCATATATTATTATAAGGTGGATTGAACAGTCCCGAATTAGTGTCATCCTAATGTGTCTTTACCTCAACTCCTTCAAGCCTATTCTTCAAGCGCGTATGCGATTCAGTATGTGATTTGGCGATGACCCCTTTAATGAATGGCAAGAAGAGGAAGAAGCACTTTCGTAGCAATGAGGGTGGGGTAAACTTGAGCTATGGGAGACGCACATTGACGCTGGTTCTCTCTTCTAGCTCCGTTATGGCTGTACCGGCAGATTTCGCAATAAAGCGGGCAATTGTGGTTGTTCCTGCGCCGGTACTACTCTCCGCCTCCATCCCGGCCTCTGTAATCGTCACCTTCGAAGTATATGTCAACTGCCTCTTGAAGCCGAGCATGTTCAGCTGGTCGACGATAATGAACTTTTGTGAATCGTTGGGGTCGTTCTTGACGTCGATGATGACCGGGTTCAGACGCATCAGTCCCGCTGGATCATGGAGAAAATCGACCACGGTCTGCACTGGGGCATTGATTGTTGTCGAGTAGGAGGCTTCGTAGTCGACGAAAAACATGACTGGAAGGCAAAAAAAACGGGAATCAAGAAAAGCTTGCACGGCTATGATCACGCAAATCCTTTGACATAAGCGCTGAAGCATCGTGACATCTGAATCCTTCCATCCGCGTCCACAACGTCGCGTTTGGATAGAATGGTGCGAGCCAAGCAAACGGCGCAGAAAAGCACTTCAGCTCGGTGTGTAAATGTATACATCAGACTGAATGATAATCTCACTGACGGGCAGCCCGTTTCTCCTGAAATCGTCAGCTCAAGCTGAAGCAGCAACTGGAGAGACGCGACCACCAGGGATCAAGGCGCGTTCTCACGCGTTTATTTGAACCGTACTGACCGTCAGATTAGACCGACCTTGAGACTCTTATCCTCAATGGCTTTGCATTCGACGGCAACGTCGCATTTTCGAAGAAGTATCCAATGGGCGACGCGCCAAATCCATATCTGGCTGTTGATGGTTTGGGCTCACTCGGTATTCCGCTCGGTCAACGTGATGCACAAGCATTCTCGTTCTCGGACAAACACATTTGTGAAGTCACATCTGACAAGGTCTCCTAGTACTTTCATCTCGCTCCCACATCCAATAATTGTCGTTTTACAGATCTCATTCGATAACCCACAGTGGAACTCTTGGGCTCAAGACACCATTGCGCAAGTCGTGGCGGAGAAACTAGCTCTTCCTGGACCCTGTTCTCTTGCGTTTCGGAAACTAGTCATTGGCAGAAGTGGTTGCGAGTGCGTTATAGTCTTTCACTTCGTGAGATACTAACTACTGCAGGGAACCTATAGTCGCGAAAGAGTTCGTTTCACACTCCTCTATGACCTGGAAGCTAATTAAAGGAATATCCAGCAGCTCTGCCGTCGGGCATGTCATCGTGTTCCTATCCAGTAATTTTGACGGCGGTCCACTCAATGTCAAGTATGGCGGCCGTCAAAATATCTTCAACGTTGCAACGGATAGCGGCGCTGCGACGACCATCGTCGCTTGGTATGCGAAATGTCAACTTGATTTCGGGTCTGTCAAGGACGGTTATCGCCTTGCGCTTGTCTACGACATCGAAATGGTCCCGCCCCTCGATTTGTCTTACTCTGGACCTCCCGATATGTCCGAACTGACGCAGAAGCTCCGTCAGATTCTGCAGACTTGGAAAGAGTCTGATAGCGTGGACCCACCAACCCATCTTGCATGTGTGTTGCGCAGAACATACAAACGAAGCACATCGTTCAGCTCCATGTCTCTCAAAGGAGCGGATAAACTGCTTTTGAAGAAGCTTGGTCCACTGGCACGCGAACTCGGTTTTAAGCTCCACCTAGCTCACGCCGAAGGCCAAATCCGGCTCCGGTGCTACATTCGCGGCTATGACCCACTGGGATACGAGGACTATGGGGACGATGAGTACGACGAGAGTGAATTCGAAGATGAAGGAAGCGACGATGACGGCGAACATATTTTGGAGGTCAAGCAGGTCGTCGATATGGGTGGGATGCCGGTGGATGTCGACGAACTGAGAATGGTGATGTATGACGAAGATGATCCTGGTCACGCTGCGTTCATTTGTGGACCGGTAATCGACCGGTCTAGGGCCCCCGATAAAACGGAATTTGAGAGGGACGAGATATTTGTATGTGGTCCAATTGCTTTGCTTTACCAGTCATTTACGTTGTTCAGTCTGCAAACCGCATAAAAAGTAGGATTTAAAACCCTTTTTTGACTAAGACTGACACATCAACAAAGCTTGGAATCGCACCGTTCTGTTGATCTGGTTGGATGACAGCGAGATTGGCCAGAGCGTTGTTCCCGGGAACATGCATGCTTATGCCGCACACTTCTTGAGCAAGTCGACTACCACGAATCCAACGCGCCGAGAAAAAACTGTTGCTGAAGCTCTCGTCTCACGCATCAAGGCATTTAAGTATCCCGTCGAGAAGAAGCACGCGAATGACGATGACTGGTTTTTCTCGACGGAAGAGCAGCAAGCCAAAGCAAAAAAGAAGGAAGCCTCTAGAATACCTGCTGCAGTTACTCTTCTGCGTCAATGCGCGGAACGGTGGAAAGACCTCGAGCTGTTGTTGCGCGTGTTGGCTATATCGGAAGCAGAGCAGAACATATCGATTGTTGGCGTTGACGGTCTGGCCTCCGCTTGCGGCACATTTGGATGGGATGTCTTGAAAGACTTGTAAGCAACTTCTCGTGTTTTTATCTCATTCTTACTCCTTGACAGCTGCGCCAAAGCAATCCAAACTGACCCTTCGATAACCCGCAAACATGGCCTTGTTGACCGCTTCATCGTTCTTGCAGCTGAACATAATATGCTTGATCTGGCTCGGTGGTGTACCGAACAGAAAGCTATATTGCCAGCCGTGGCAGAGGAGGCAGTAACTGGGGGAAAACGGCCTTCGACAGAAAATGACAAGACCATTCCAGCTAAGAAAAGGAAAGCTTAGCGGCTTCAGTCTTCAGTTGACAATGTCAAGTCAACAACAACAATTATTCTAACAACTTATACCTATTACTTACTTACTGAGCTTACTAGTGGCTACGATATTCTGCCTTCGGCTACTTACCATTACAGTACATATTTTCCTATCATCATATCGAGCTTAAGTCCATAAAATAACAAGAGTTTTGGCCGTTAAGGGTGGCATTGACGCGTCAAGTCACGTTGTGACTTGACGCATCATTTTTCTTGTTCTTGACCTCCATGGCTGCGTCTTTCGCGACTCCGTCTTCGACGGCAAGCCCTTCGCCATCCCCATCGAGAATGTGGTCCTCTTTGCCGCCCAGTACTGCACCATCGTCACCACCCCCTGAATCAGGCAAGACAACACCCAAGTCCGAGTCAGACGAGGTCAGTCTCCACAGTTCGTCGCTGTCCACTTACCAACCAACTATTTTACGTGCAGAACTCGAATCCCTTTCTTTCTGCCACCTCAGGAGTGCCTGAGACACAGGCAGAGGCGGATGACGATGGTCTCACTGAAGACAGGTACACGCGTTTGAAGAGCATTCTCGACCGCAGTGTCGCCTACAGCGCGCTCCTGAAACAACAGATGGAGGATGTTCGGCGAAGAACTGCGGAGGAGGAGCGAGCCAAACGACCGACCAAGCGAGTTCGTCGGGGGCGACAGTCTACAACTGTCACCGAAGAAGTGGAACAGCAGACCCCCAACGAGAACGTCGTACAGCAACCAGCACTTGTAACTGGTGGTCGTTTGAAGGACTATCAACTCGAAGGACTGGCGTGGATGATCGGCTTGCACAGTCAGGGCATTTCTGGTATCTTGGGTGCGAAAACTTTGTTTACCGAAAACGTCCTTCTCATGATATTCTGTAGCCGACGAGATGGGCTTAGGAAAGGTGCGTTCAAGTACGCGCAGCGTCGTTCTCGACCTATCATTGTGGACAGACGTTGCAAACTATCGCGTTCACGGCCTACTTGCGCGAAAAGATCACTCGCCCTATTCTCATTGTTTGTCCTCTCAGCGTCATGCATAACTGGATTTCAGAGTATAACCGATTCGCCCCAAAAGTAAGACTATCATTGCTGACTCTTTTCCCTCGCTGACACATCTTCAGATTCCCGTTTTGATGTACCACGGAACACCAGACGATAGAGCGGAAATGCGCAAAACCTATCTAAGCCTCCCTGAAGACTATCCTCCGAAAGGGAGAGCCCACAATGTTGCTCCCCCTCCGCCGAAGAAGGGTAAAGGCAATACCAAAGGCCGGAAACGCAAAGCTCCTCAGCATGAACAACCAGAGGCCCAGCACGAACAAACCCCTGCAGAGAAGGCTCTTGAAAAGAAACACGACAACCACTTCAAACAGTTCCCAGTGGTTGTAACGACTTACGACCTGATCATTCGAGACCGAAGCAAGTTGGACAAGATCCCTTGGGGGTAAGTCTTGTCTTATTTGTTTCGGACAATTGCTGAGTTTGGTCAAGTTACATTGTCGTGGATGAAGGTCATCGTCTCAAGAACATGGACTGCGCCTTGGTTCGTGAGGTCAAACGTTATCAAAGCGCGGGGAGGATGATTCTTACGGGAACGCCGTTGCATGTGCGTGCTCTTTCTGGTCTTATAATTGAGCATTTCGTGATGTCGCCACAGAACAATCTCGCTGAACTCTGGTCCCTTCTCAACTTCATCCTACCCGATATATTTAGTGACCTCGACGCGTTCCAAGAATGGCAGGTTATTCTTCAGCTTTCCTTGCGCTTTCTAACATTCATTGGAAGGTTCTCCCTTCCTCGCATGTCTGCACAGCTACAATCCGAACGTATGAGCCAGTTCGTCAGCACAATGCACACTATCCTCAAGCCCTTTTTGCTACGTCGTGTTAAGGCTGATGTCTTGGGTCAGTAATCTCCGTCTTGCTGTAACCTTTCTCAATGTTTATGACCAGGAAACGCTCTGCCGCCGAAAAAAAACTATGTTCTCTACGCGAAGCTGAGCGAAGCGCAAAAAGAGGCCTATGAGGCTGTCTTGTCAGGGGATTTGAGGAGTTGGGTCGCTGGGGGTGCCGCATCGGCGTTAAAAGAGCCTCAAGAGCCAGTCACCGAAGTAGATCTCGACAGTCCGCGAAAACTTCGAGCTCGAGGCTCGAAAGGAAAGCAGGCGATTGATCCAGTCGAACTGGAGCGCAAACGAGCAGAAGAAGCTGCAGCCTTCGCAAGGAAACGTGTCGGTTCGTCTTTGGGCCTTTCCTTTTGTGAGCCAAGTTGCTAACTTGTATTTTCAGCGAAACACGTCAATAACATGCATCTTCAAAATACCGTGATGCAGCTCCGCAAAGTATGCTCACATCCATTCTTGTTTGCTCGGGGCGATGATGATCAATGGGGGATGAGTACGTATTTTGTCCGACCTTTTGTTTCACGACTGAAATATTACTAGCACAACGCCTAACGCCAACGGAACTAGCTGCTCGTGAAACTGCACTTTTGAACGCGAGTGGCAAGATGCTGCTCCTCGACCGTTTGCTGGGCGAATTGTTCCGCAGGGGACACAAGGTTCTGTTGTTTAGTCAGTTCACGACGATGCTGGATATCTTAGAGGTGAATTTCTCTCTTTCTCCTACGCAATCCCTGATTCATTCGTCTAGGATTGGGCAGTCGACATGAAGGGTTGGAAGATTTGCCGGATCGACGGCGACACTCCGCCACTTGAGCGACGTGACCAGATGGATATTTTCCAGAACGGTGGTGATGCTCCGGACGCACCCAAATTGTTCCTGCTCAGCACGCGTTCTGGTGGCCTGGGTGTCAACCTAACTGCGGCGGATACTGTCATTTTCTACGACCAAGACTGGGTCAGTCACTTGAGTACATTTTTTGCTGCTTTTGCTGATGGAGTATTTTCAGAACCCGCAAATGGACATTCAAGCGCAAGACCGCGCGCACCGAATTGGGCAGACGAAGCCTGTGCTGATCTTCCGACTGATCACTGCGCTCACCGTTGAGGAGAAGATCATGCAAAAAGCGGGGGAGAAGAGGAAGCTGGAAGCTCTCGTTATTGCGAAGGGCAAGTTCAAGATGCCGACCCACGAGGGTGCCGCCAAAGAGCACAAAACGTCTATGGCGGAGATGGCTGCTGAGCTTTTGCGGCTGACGGCGGAGACGGATGTTGACAACGTGCTACATGCGGGCGATGTCGTGCTGAGTGACGCGGATATGGATGCCTTGTTGGACCGCTCGCCCGAGGTGTTTGCGGGCCGTGGAGAGGGTTGGCAGTCAGGGAGCGGCCAGAAAGATACCAACGGCAAGAGTGCCTTTGCGGTGTTTGAGCCTGCTGTGGATGAAAGTGGGGAGGGAATGGGTGTGGGTGTCGGGCTGGAGGGGATTATGGGTGAGACAGAAAGTTCTGATGATGATGAGGAGTCTGAGTGATCTACGTGATTCAGTTTCAGTGTACTATCTTATTCCATATCTGTACTACTTGTAGTAGACCGTGATTAGTTATAGTAGCTTTGCTTTTTTTGTACTCTGCTTCTCTGAAGTGAACTTGAGGCATCATTAGGAGAGCATTGACAGTAGCTACTACAATCACCGGGTGAGGTAGTGAGCAAATAATCCTTGGTGAACGGGAATGCAAAATATTTGTTCGCATCTTGGAACGGATATAATAATGCTAGTAGTTGCTAGTTCATTGACAATCCGCGTTCTCCAAGCTGTTAAAACTTGCGCAAGCTTTTTGGTAAGTTGCGTGGGTAGAGGAGAGATAATGTGCTTGATTCAGGAGAGGAGTCAGACTGTAAAAGTGAGAGCTCGAGATCATTGGATGGCTGAGGGGGAAATTTGCCGAGATAGAAAAAGTCAAAAAAAATATTGTGCTCCGTAGAGCGCCACTCTGAACTAGCGTGTCATCCTTGTGCAGGGGCCATGCTAATCTGGAGCAGGAATTAGAACAGCTGAAAGACCGTTACACTGAATAACTAACCTTCTCTGTATCGTTCCTAAGGAAGGAAACAACATAAGCCTTGGAGAGCACAGAGGACGACGGAAAGACATACCAATTTTATGTATGTCACTCCGAAGAGGACATGAGAGAGGGTGGAAGCTCGAAGGAGTCGCACTGACTGATGTAGTGCGCTGGCAATAGCGGGCTTGCGGAAGCGACGTCTGCGAAACGAAAGTCGGCATGCTCTGCGCATCACGCATCACAGAGTTGATCAATATTGATGATGTAAGCTACTCTCGTCAGCATCGTTTGTATGCATACTCCGTCATGAGCTCCCTCGCATTTCTAGTGACTGAGCTTCAGGTGCGAGCCTATGACCTACATCCTCAAACTACTCTAATATGCTCACAGTCCTTGGCGAGCGAAACTCGGCGGAAGCATCCCGACATTCGTGAGGTGGGTTTTGTAGAGGTTGCAAAGGACACGACTTCAATGAGCACAGGCTGCGGAGAAGTCTCTCGCCATCTTACGCGCTTCCCCGGAGCAGGCAACGGCAAACTTAGCGTCTGGTCCGTCGTGGCGTGTTTCTCTTTTAACATCCCTTCATTTTTTCAGATGGCCCACAATCTGAAGACCTGTTACGACCAGTGTTTATGGGATGCGCCACCAAGAATGCAAAAGTCGTTGCAATATCGCTCGGCTCGCTGCAACGGTTAATAGCGCTCAAGGCAGTTCCTCAATCGGCTGTCGAACGAATCGTGAACACAATGAGCGACGCGATGAGCCAGGGTGTTGACATTCAACTCCGTATCCTTCAAACCCTGCTTTCGCTTATCACCAACTTTCCTGCAGTTCATGGAGGACTTCTGGGAGATGTGCGTGGTGCTGCTTTTAACACTGAACGACCATTGACTTATGCTATAGGCTCTTTTACTGTGCTTCAAGTTGCAGGAGTCTAAAATTGCTGTTGTGTCCTCGACCGCTGCGGCCACACTTCGGCAATTGGTCATGTTCGTATTCGACAAGATGGTGGACGAGGACAGACGAGACGACCCTGACGTAGCGCAATGGCAAGATGTAAGGCTACCAAATGGGACGACCAAATCACTCGGTCCTTCCGCCCGCGACGCGTTCTCCGTCTTCGAGGATCTCTGTCTCCTCGCCAACTCTGAAAAACCCAACTTCCTCAAACTCGAATTCCTCCACAAGACATTTGCGTTGGAGCTCATTGAGAGCGTACTCACCAATTACCATGACCTGTTCCGCAAGCACACCGAGCTCGTGCTCCTCCTCCAACTTCACCTCTGCCCCCTACTTCTCAAAGCCCTTTCCGACCGACCCTCGTTTCCACTCACCCTACGATGCACCCGTGTGGTATTCCTGCTTCTCAAGCAGTTTTCTGCGGAGTTGGAGACAGAGGCGGAGATATTCCTGATGCTACTCATCAAAATCATTGGCGAGGAACACGCCGAGCAGGAATCGCGACCCCACTGGATGCGCGTGATCGCGATGGAGATCATGCGTGGTCTATGTAGCGATGCTGAACTTATTCGTAACGTCTGGGCCCGCTACGATGCGCGACATTCTGGCTCGAATGTCTTTGGTGCCCTTTTAACTGCGTTAAAACGACTGATCACCGAAAGACCTGCCCTATTGGGCGCGTCGACCCAAATATTTGGCGTGGGTGTGCAACCAGAGGGTGCTTCAGGGTACGGATTGGATGTTGGAGGCGTTGCTGGTATGGTTGCCAATGCGGCGAGTGCGACCGTATCTGGAGTTGTTGGAATGATGGGAGGTACCGGTGGTCTGAGTTTGCAAGGTTCTTCGATGAAACTGCAATGGTGCGCGTGCTCTTTTTTTTGTAGTTTATAACCGTCTCATTTGACTCGTAGTATTGACCAACTCGACAAAGCCGATGCTCCACCCATCCCAGACTCATACATCTACCTTCTCGGAGTTCAATGCATCGTCTCCCTGTGTGAAGGTTTTGCTGCATATACGGGTCCAGTTTATAGCACCATCGTTATTCAGAGGCCCAGGGCGGCAGGAGAAGCCGTCATCCGTGCACCTCCCGCCCTCGATCTCGCAGCTTTGCCTACTGAAGACCCAACTACAATCCAGCTTCAAACTGTTAGCGCGTTGTTGGAAAGTGGCTGGCCCGCTCTGCTCGCTGCACTTTCATTCATAATAGCTACCAACCTTTCGGACGAACTGTTCGTCGAAGTTCTTGCCAGCTACCAGGCCATGACCAATGTGGCTGGTATGCTTGGTTTGACCACACCACGAGACGCCTTCTTCACCAGTTTGGCCAAGTTTGCGGTGCCTACTCGCGTCGTTTCCAGCCTCGACCATTCTTATGGCACGGAAATGCAGACCCCACGGTCTGCCGCGTCTATCACCGAGAATCTCGGCTTTTCGACTACATCTACACAACCACCAGGTCTTTCGGAGCGTAACCTCGCATGTCTCAAAGTCCTTGTTTCCAGCGCTGTTTTCCTTGCGGGAAGTCTGGGCGAGAGCTGGTTTGGCATTCTGGAGGCTCTTCAGAATGCCGATTATGTTCTAACTTCGAAGGGTACAAGTGCCCCGAAGCGATCATTTAGTGGGTCGCTTCCGTCGACACGAGGGGCTCCCAGCTCGAGGCACGTGTTACTTTCCGACCTGGATCCGGATGCCTTGCAAGGCGCGATACAACGACTATTCGACGCGACGAAGAATTTGGAAGACGATGCGTTCAGGCATTTCGTGAATGCGTTATGTAAGCTCAGTTCCGAGATGGTCGGAATGCAAGCAGAGGCCCGAGAAGGAGATGGGCAGCTCGTTGATGCTCTGGAGAATAATCTGGATGAGCCCCAGAGCGCAACACTCTCTCCGCGAATAGAAATGCACCGGAGGCGAGTCAGTGGAATTCATTTACCTCGTACTTTGGTGAGCATTTTGACTTGTGTTTTTTTCGACTTCTTTGCTGAAGTTTATTACAGCGCTCTGGAGATTTCGGTATAAGTAAGTTAGGAGGAGTGTCCCTTCTCAATATCCACCGACTCATATATCGGTCACCGGATGTGGCCTGGGACATTACGACCAGCCACCTGCTCTCCATCATATGTTCTACCCACGCTCCACAACCCATTCGAGTCCAAGCTGCCCGTGTCTTGGACGACATCCTTGTCATCGTTCCACGAAACCTTTCAAGTACTGGCGACCTCCAAGCTCAGGTCCAGAAGCGCGTGCTTGATGTACTTGCTCAGCAAATCGTGATGGATTATTCAATACCAGGAGCGAGTTCCAATGCTGGAGTTGAGCTTCGGAAGATGGGTCTGGAGACTCTCCATCAGATCCTGGAAGCCTCGGGACATACTCTAGTCGTTGGCTGGGAGACAATATTTGAGATGTTGGGGAGTGTCTGCAAGCCCACATCTTTACCTCGATCTCGGTCAGAAGATACACTCTCAGCCGCATCATCTCCCGTGACGCGCACAAAGCCATCGCCACTGGGTCTAGGAAACCCAACTGAGAAAGGATCGGCAGCGCTAGTCAAGATAGCGTTTCAATCGCTCACACTCGTTTGCGATTCAGTGTCATCGCTGTCACCAGAACACCTACGACTATGCATCAGCACTCTCGGGCAATTCGGTCGTCAATCAGACACGAATATCGCGCTGACTGCTGCCGCAAGCTTGCTCTGGAGTGTTTCTGATGCTATTCAGTCCAAGCGAAAGGACGAAGAACACGAGCCCGAGTACAACGCGTTGTGGATGTTTCTCCTACAAGAGGTTCTTGGCCTTGGGACCGACTCGCGTCCCGAAGTTCGTGATGGCGCCATCCAAACTCTGTTCCGGACAATGCAGCTGTATGGCGCCACGCTTAGTCAGGCGACATGGGACGAGTGTATCTGGAAAATTACTTTCCCTCTTCTGGACGCGTTAACAGCAGAAATACGACGATTGGGCTATGTAGCTTCGCCCCGCGCGACAGAGCCACCTTCAGCGGTTACAACGATGACGACGACCGCCGCGGTACCTTTAGAACAGGCCTGGGACGACTCCAAGACGCTTGCCCTTCAATCTATTGGCTCGTTGTTGCACGACTTCTTATCGACCAAGATAATACAACTGGACTCGTTCGTGAAAGCTTGGGGAGTCTTTGTGGACCACATCCAAGACACTGTCCTGCTGGATAACCGCTCCATTAGCCCCCCCGCGCTGCGTTCTCTGGAGAAAGCTGTAAAGGCAGCGTCTGCGGCAGACACTGATGCCAAAGACAAGGTTGCCGAAATTTGGCAGCGCGTGTGGTCAATGGCCGATCAGGTTGGCGACGCTATTCTCAAACGCGGAAGTGCTGTCTCGCCCGTGCAGGGGAGTCCGCATAAGCCGTTCACCCAAGAAAGCCTTGTTGCCTTTTTGGATGTAATAAGGTGTACGAGGAATACGAGTCGTTCTTTGGAGAAGGCAGAATGGCCGCTGGAGCGATTAACTCGGCTCATGGCCATATTAAAGGGTGAGGCTTGGTTGTTTATCTGGGACTTTGTTAACAGTATTCAGGTATCCTTACTTACCCCAGTTCTCCGGACTATCGACCAGATATCGACCAGCTGCCGCCAGTTCAAGTACGTGTTTTGGTGCGGGCTATACCGATGATCTGACAAAGTCTTAGGCGATCGTACTCGAAACGATTGCGGACATTGATCTAACCGCTGCAGGCACTGCGTCTCTCGTGATGAGAGATCTTTCAGAGTTCGCGACTCTACCTTTCCTCGCTGCATTCGATGTGCCGCCCGACCCCAAGACACAAACACCGGCAAAGCGGGTCACGTATATCGCCCTAGCCAAGAAGGTCATGCCAACGCTAGTCGAGCTATTCTTGCGATTCAAGGAGCGGGAAGAGATTTATGCTGACGGGACGATCGAAGCACTTCTTTCTGTAGGTGATCACGTGATTGATTTGGAATGGATGCTAATGCATGGACACAGGCGTACTCCATCCCAGTTAAACTCAAATACGATTGCCCGCCTGCGTCGAAGTTTGGCAAAGACCAACCGCTATGGAAGACGGCAACGTCAAACTTTCTCAAGATCGTGAAAGAATGTGTGCTGCCGATGCAGAACATGGGCGATGCTATTCCGGATGAGCATATCGAAGGGATATGGAGGCAACTTTTAGATGTGTTCAGAGGAGGAATACTGGCGGACTGGTTTGTCTTTTTTTTGTTGTTATTGTTGTTGCTGAATGAGACGGGCAGCTCCATATTCGAATCCTTTCCGCTGGAAAAGCAAGAAGAGGAGGAGAACTTCGATCTGGCTCTTATTGGCGCGCTCGAAATCGACGTTGTCCCATATCTCGGGAACGAACGGGTGCCGGACTATCTTGTCGCGCAGCTGGCCAAAATACTACAACACGGGAGCCGCTTGTATAGTGTTGAGCCACAGTCGCCCGCGTCGTCTTCGGGATCAAGGGAGTTTGAGAAGGTTGATATTGAAACGATGTTTGATGCCGGGACGACAGAGGCAGCGGCGCTCGTTCCCAGAGAGCGATTCTCGTATTGGTGTTTCGACCTGTTGTTCTTGGTCTGTTCAGATACTACCAAGGGTAAGTTTTTATCTCTGCTCTCCCTTTCGAGTGACTGACTAGTTTTCAAGAGCAAGAGCTGGCTCGTAGGCGGCTGGCAGCGCTGAGCTTACCGTCACTACTCAGTCGGTGCAATAATGTGCTGTCATCATATGTTGCAGACGAGGCGCTTCGCGGGAACCTGCCTTTCTCCCGGGCGCGAGACGACGAACTGATATATGTCCTCCGCAAACTACTCGAGCTGCAACTGTGGCCCGGCTCGCTGTGGGCCGCGCTGTCACCTGACCCAACAAGATTCGCAGCTGAACAATCTCCGGTCGACACGGCCCTCTCGCCCAAGGAGCTGATTGCTGACGCGGTCCGGCGCTCCCGCGTTGCGCATCTATTCCACTTCTACCCGTTGCTGTGCGAGATTGCGTCAATACCGAGGCGGACGCCGGCAGCGTGGGTCGCGGTAAAGCAGGGGGCCAAGGAGCTGGATGCACGGACATTGGCGAGGGAGTGTCTGAAAGTCCTCGGCAAGGAGATGGGCGTGTGAATAGAGCATACTATACCGTTAATATCTGTACTTACCTTTTTTTACTTGTGTATCTAAACTACAATTCATGTAGTTCTGTGAAGGAAGTCACACTCAGGCTGTTGAAGGACAAGCCCAATGTTGGGGTCTTTGTTTTGTCTACAGACTTCTTATTTTGGGGGGCATTCAGAGTAATGAACCTCAGCATTCCAAAGAAGTAACATACTTGTGTTTCTTGCAATTGTTCCTTACAGCTGTTGAAGACCTCGTAATTTGACTTCCTTGCAAAGGTCACATGATGCTAAGTTACAATGTAAGTGAGCAATTGTCAGTGGTGTACATATAATTGAAGCAAACCTATAGGTAGAGCTGGTGTATTTCAGCCACCCAGGCCTTCATAGTTGCAATTATAATGAATGTCCTAATTGCAATAGGTTGTATTTTCCATTCCTAGTTCAGTATGGAGTCAATGTTTGTCTACAGAGAGACCCTTTTGATTCCAATTCAAACACAAGTGCATGAACTACTCTTAATCATGATTCACAACTAATTCAAGTTGGCCACTTACAAATCATTTGTACTGTACTACATGTTCGGGCTTCGTCTTTGTGAAAGAAATTTTCGACTCGTGCAGTCAAGCGTTACATTAGATTTTCGCAGCTGAGCTTAGACAAGACAAAGAGCGGGGCACCCCGGTCGGTTGGACATACAGGAAAAAAGGCAATATGCATACGCGCGTGGGACGGGTGGGAGATATGATACACACAGGGAAAACAGCGGAAAGTGACGTGGTGATCATGGTACTGCTGCGCCACCGACCTCTGCAACGGGCCCCGTCAGCAACACAGAGCAGGAAAGAAACTGGGAGGACGCACGCTCGACCATGACATCGATAGTGTCTACAAGGACGCGGGGTTAGTGCGCGATAAATAAATGAGAAAAGCGCGCACCGTTGTCCTCCATTTCGAGCGTCGATGGTGTGTCGTCGTCGTTTATTCGCGACCCGTCGTACAGAAACCTGGCAATGACAATTTAGCTTCGTTGACTTGAAAAATGACAAGATCGGCAAAGAAAGAGGGAGGATAGCGGATGCCCCCAGCACACGACTGAGGAGGAATCCCGGGAGAAAGTGAGGAGAGGCACAAAGCCGGCCACCCACCGAATGCTGCCCACGTCTTTGCCCACTTTGCTGGCATAAGCACCTTGTAGCTTGCTCAGCTTCGTGCTCTTCTTGATCTTGAAGAAAACTTCCTCGCCCGTCGAGCTCACGACCTGCAGAAAGCGTGTCCGGGAGAGAGGGGGAGGGAGAATAGAGTGAGCCACGTTGCTGGACCTCGGAAACTCGTCAAATATGCACCTTAATGTTAATGGTGCCCTGCGCGTCCTCAGATTTGACTGGCTCGTCCTGTTGCTGCTCGTCGGACATCGTGGGTTGTATACAATTTGTTTGGTGTCAAAGAAGATGCGGTGGGTTCAGTGAAAGAAGCGGCGAGCGAGAATGTCGAAGGCAAAAGGCCTGTGCGTGACACCGCCACTCGTGACCCGTGACATCGTCCCAATGGAAGGTCAATGTTGTGCAATGCCCATGGGCATATCCTGCAGGTCAGATATCCTGTGGGATAAATGGCCTTCAGGACAATTTATTTATCCCTATGAGGCTCCAACAGGTTACAGGAGACAATAATCTATCTTACTGTACGTGATTTCCTATAGAATAATAATTTCCTACCAAATATATTACTATATACAAGAGATTATTGCTATTTTCAAAAATGATGGCATTTCAAAAAAATAAAAAAATCTCATACATGCTCAGTCTCCCATGTCCTACAGCAACATATACTATTTCTTGTGCCGTCACTCAAGACTGTATCAACAATGCTGCAGCCAACATTCCAGACCCATTGCAAACTTGATGATCTCATGACGAGAGACTAGAGTCGTCGCCTAGTTGGGAAAGCATCTGGGGGAGATTCAATAGGCGTTGGTGCCAGTGTCGATATGTCTGAACCCTCCTGGTCCCTACGGTTTCGTTTGTAGGGAGTATATATGCAAAGTAGTAAGTAAGAGTTGGAGTAGTAGCCAGCGGCAAGGGACACGAAACATGACACTTTTCCGATTATGAGCCTAGCGCATCACACAAGATATATTTTTTCAGAATGCCATCATTTTCGAAAATAGCAATAAATAAAAATATTCTACAGAGTATAAAAGCTGATCATGCATATCAAACTCTCCTTCCTCAGCCCTCATGCTAATTTTGGGTAGATTCCCATACTATAAATTTTCTGTAAAACTTGAAAGGTTTATTTCCTATAGGATATGTCTGTTTCATGTATAACAGGTTTCATTATATATGATAAATATTAATGGAGAGGAGACTCCAGGTGCCCTATAGGATAACTGGTACTTGTTACTGCAGGATAACAGTCCTGGAGGGTATATACTAACCTGCAAAGATAATTATTATGTGCATACAGGGATATGATATGACCCCTCTACAGGATAGAAAAGGTCACCTGTAGAGAAAATGATCCTATAGGCGCTACAGGAGAAATATTACATATATACTACAGGTTTGATTTTTTTATCCTATAGGATAACCCATGGAAACATTCTTGTGGGCATGTTCCTATGGGCATTGCGGCACAGGATTGGCACTTTTCTGATTAACCAAGGTGTACACTAGCATATCCACAATATACTACACTAAAAGAACGAAATATAAACCCCCAGATAAATAGCTATCCGTCCCGGTTTTTGTGTTTGCCCTTCCCGTTGCTCTCCTTTTTGGCCAGCCTTGTCAGCAATTTCCGCGCCTTCTGATACTCGACATCCTCCTCGCTCGGAGACCGACGCTTGATCTGGTGATGGGCCATCGGCCATCGGCCTGTCGCATGCACACAACTGGTTGTGCCCGGGGGGTTGAGCAAGGTTCACACCAGGCAGTCAACAGGTTTGCACTAGGGATTGGCTATGATCCACATGGGTGCAAGGATGCTTGTGCCGGGGGAGGACTGTGCAAATGCCCAGGGAGAATAAACATTGCCCCCTATGTCCTAATAATAATAATAATAATAGCCTTATCAACCCGCCTGCCCACACCAGTTGTTACACCACCTTGACCACTGCCACATACTCATCGTGGCCTCGCGCCGCTACCCTCGCTCACCTCCCAAGGCCCGCCCTGCGCGACTTTGGCGTATGCAATCCGTCTGGCGGACACAACCGGCCGGCTCGCCGGAGCACGTGGTAACTTTTCCCACCGCCATCTTTTCCTTCTTTTCCCCTCCTCCTCCCTCTCGCTTTGCCTTCCATCTTCCCCCCTCCTCGAGCATCAATCCCAGCTGCAAATAAGCAACCGGACCGAGCCGCTGACGCCGACACACACGCAGAGATGGTGGCGCCGGCGGCCAAGCGCCTGCTTACCTCTTTGCAGGCTAGACCATGCAGCTGCAGCGCGGCCATAAGCCCCTCGCCCAGCATGACCACCACTCTTAACCCCCATCTTCTCCGCCAATCCAACCTCCCAGCCCACCTTCTTCTCCCAACCTCCCTCCCCGCTCGCTGCGTGCTCAACTTGAGTCCGCGCTGGGACGGATTCTCGTGCCGCTCGTTTGCATGGCGGGCGGATGGGTAAGGGCGGACTGGCTCTGTCTGCCCTTACTTGTTTTTTTTGGGCCGGTGGAGCCCGCCATCGTGGGTACTGGCCGGCATCCGCCCGGGCACTTGTTCGTGTGTGCCCGGGGCATATGGGCCGACCGACCCGGGTGGACACGGGCAAGTGCCCGGGGTCATTTGTTTGGTGGCACCCGGGCACTCGTTTGGTTGTACTCAGGGCGGCGGGTGAGAATCCGCCCGGACCGCTTGTTTGGTTGTACTCGGGCAGACGCAAGGGAGTGCCCGGGGCCGGGGGGACCAAAGCTGTCCCCCCGGGCTCTCCTTTGTCTGCGCCAAGGTGGATTCTCTGGCCAGTGGTTGGTGGTTCATCGTCACTGGTGTGCTTGCACTGAGGAGTTAGACGTCATATGTAGTATGTCGTGTAGGAGTAGTTACAATGTAATCATTTACTTTTCCAAAGCAAATTGTACATCCTGTCATTTAAATTGCTTAGAGATGTAAGTAATGGTTATGATAGGTATACCAATGACCACAGTGGAATGTTTATAAGAGGTAGAACACTATGTATTTGCTATGTATAACAAGGGCAGACAGCAAATATACCCTCATGGAATCCTATGGCTCCCCCCGGGGAATGTCATGCATGCACTAGGTGACAACCCCCAGTTACCCCTGTGCAATGGTGTTCGGGTGCATGGTGCACTCGAGGGAAGGTGCATGCGACAGGCCTGTCTCATGGCCGATGGCCCATCACCAGATCAAGCGACAATCTGCTCGCTCGAGTCTTCCCACATGTCTGGAGTCGAGCTCCGCGGCTGGGAACGCCCATTCCACGGGGCATGGTCCTCTCCATTTGCCTCGTCCTCATCGTCTGGCGAAGCCGGCGGTGTCGTCGAAAACGTTGGCTGCAGCGAAACTCGCACGCTTTTCCTGCGTTGTGGCGCTTGTGCGATTGGATGTTCGGCCGAAACCGTGCTCGCCGACAAGTCCGACGAAGCCCCCCGCCCGAAATCCTCAATGAGCGTATGGTCGATCGGGCTATCGTGAATGACCCCGTTCGTAACCTTGTGGTTGCTATAATCATGTGGCGGCGGGGGCGGCGGAGAATGCTCGCGTTCAGTCTCAGTCTCCTCGCCATCAGTGGCTTTGTCATCGCTTTCAAAGGTCTCGATACCAGTCGCATACGAAGAAATCGATGCTCCATCGTCAAAATCTTCCTCTTCCACCTCCTTCTCCTTTCCTTTGCCATTGACAATGATAGGCGGAGGCGATGGAACCAACATATGTATCGGGACTGGAGTAGGCCGAATGGCAACTGGAGCAACAATGGCGACAGGCTGTACTTGTGATGCTGGGGGTGATGGTGTTGCCGAGTTTCTCAAAGCACTCCTCAATGGCGACTTGGCGGGTAATTTCATTGACGAGCTGCGCGATGACGAAGGGCCAGCAACCATTTCTGGTCCCGCAAAAGTGCTGGGTACCGCAGGAGTCGAGAAAATCGATGCTGGAGCGCGAGGGAGGCCGTCAATAGGTATAATGGTTGCAGAACTAGTCGTCCGACCCCTTGATTCAGTGGAAGAAACAGAAACGTTAAGACGCGGGGCCTTGGCTTCTACCAATCCACTGGCCGTTGTCGTTGGAGTCGTTGAACTCCCCAAACCGACCCCATTATATGCAGCCCAGCCCGTCCGATTTGCTCGTGAAACACCTTCAACAATGCTCATCAAACTCGGTGCATCGCTAACCGACCGTGGCGCGGGATGGACCGGCAAACTCGAACGTTTCTCAGCCCGTGTTGTTGCCGAAGCAGTTGTGGGAGGTACCAAGGCATCAGCGGTAGATGCCCCAGAAACGCCCAACGACGAGCGACGCTTCTGTTTTGGCGAAATGACGATTTGCATCTCAGTGCTCGTATCCGACATCGAAGTTGCAGCACTTTCAACACTCCTAACAGTTCCCGAGCCATTGATTTTGCTCTTGCGACGCTTGACCGTCCCACCACCATCACTGGCCCAACCCTTGTCATCCTCCCCAGGGTCGGCTTCTGCCCGTCTCGGTAATACCAGCGCTCCTTGTCCGCCCACCCATTCTTCTGCTCTCCGAATTCCAACGTGGTCGTCATCCGTGAGGCCTCTTCTCCTGCGCTGAGACCCAATGTCGCTGACAACACGTTTGCGTGGACCTGCAACCGGTGTTGGTGGCTCGCTCCGAATATCGGGCTCGTCGTCGGACTCCGCAACATCTCGTTTGGCCCGCTTTAGTCGGGAAGCCGGTCCAACATCACTCCCACCACCATTAGGGCTACGACGCGTAAACAGCCCGCGAATGCTGCCGAAAAAACCAGAGTTGGTTTTGACAGGGACACTGATTGTACTGCTTCCATAAGTTGAATTGCGATGTAGTGCCCCAGTAGGTTTAGATGTCGTGTTGCGTTTGAGAAGCCCTCCGGCTTTGCTACTGGATGCATTTGGCAACTTGGTCGTTGAAGCAAATCGAGGGTTTTCGACAACTTCAAGTGCTTGCTCTTCTTCTTCTTCGGCAACACTACTCCCTTCTCCATCGTCCTGATTAAGATTTTCCTCAGTTATCCGCCGCGCCAGTACATGCGGAGCGAATTTCGATGAGGGAGAAGAAATGACAGGGACGAGGTCAACTGGGGGCAACATCATCTGGTGCTGATGATCCAGACTCGAAGGGGGTGGGGGCAGTGGGGCAGATGTGTCGATGTATAGGTTGATTTGTGAGGCCGATTGGGAGGGAGCTAGGGAAACATCGGAGCCAGAAACGCCTGGCAAAGGTTTATTGGAGTTTGGAGTCGATGGAGCAGGCAAGCTGGAGCCACCCTGGGCAGACAGAGCTCCAGCATGACCAGCCTCCTTCCAACGGGTACCACATTCTGCTAGCGCTCGACACCGGCCAGCTAGCCCATCACGAACAAGAGCTGCCCGCCGAATATCAAGCTCGGCTTCTTTTGCCGCAAGATGGGCTTCGCATGCTTGAAGCTCGGTTTGGGCGGCGACCAACTTCGCATTGGTAGGCGTGTTTGCCGAAAAAGGGAGCGAGGCTTGCGACTGATTCGGCGAGGAGGTCAAGGGAAGCGAGCCAGAGGACTGGGACGTATGGAGCGCAGGTTTAGACGCCTTGATTAAACGCGTTACTCTGTGAGATGGTTAGCACGTTGTCCGGACTTTATGACCGCAGCGAAATGACGTAGACGCCGTCCGTAACCCTGAGTAAACGTGGAAATCGACGCGGGCACTCCACACGTCCCTGCACAAGGAAACGAGGAGAAAACACAATAGAGGACACTCACAAAATCTCCCTGTCCCGCATGATGTTCCCAACTTCGTCTTCCAATGCCTTTAGACCCTTCAAATAGTCCCGCCAACGGTCGACAGCGGCGGCATAGTGTCGAAGTGCATCATCAGCTGCCGCTAGAGACCCCGCAACGGCGAGTATAAGATGCGCGGAAGCTGGCGAAGAGGCAGAGCCATATGCGGTGACGGAAGCGAGGGAGGCATTCGAGTGGTCAAGTAGTGTCGCGAGATGTTTCGCGTACTCCTTCTCTTGGGAAAGCAAGTTCCCAAGTAGTCGAGAGTCGGCAGGACGGTGAACCATCGACTGGGTTCAGCGCCAAAGCCGCTTGGCCAGGAGTCGGTTGGGGTAAGGAGTTGGTGGTTGGAAGAAGAATGGAGGTTGTCAATTGACAGCGCCGATTGATGGCGCGCACTTTGCTTCCATCTCTGACGTATGCAGTTCCAACGACATTCACAAACCTCCTACACTTGCTTTGCTGCGAAGACAAACCACGCGGAAGCTACTACAATGCTTAGGAAAAACGGCGAAATTTGAGCACTCCCAAAAATATTATCATTATTTTTGGGATCATATCCTGCGCCTACTGTGGTTCCCGCTGATTGGGTAATTTCCCATTGACTGGGTAATCGCAAAGTCCTAGCATAGTTTTTTGCATAGTGCTTCCGGTATCATCCGGGATGGGTTTTGTAGCCAATTAAGTATATCCTTACAAAAAATTAGAGGTATCCGTGAGGAGATGGTGTGCCGGCGCAGTGGCCGATCATGCGACTCGTGTAATATTTGGGTCCAGATACCCATTTTCTGTTGTTGAAGGGGGAGGTTATTATCCAGAACACCTGGGCAACCTCTATATGCCTAATAAGTAACATTGAGTGTGTTGATACCTATTTCTATGCACCAGTCGCTCCGTAGCGTTGAAATTGAGACAAATGTGACACCCTGTCACGGGCCCATCAAATCTAGCAATGGCTCAAGATAACGAAGAAGAAATGTCTTGGGGTCAAAATTTAGACTTCAGGGTGGCATATAAGGCCGCTTATACCTTTGTGGCATATTTATTGCCCAGTACACACTCAGGAGAGCTCAAATACGAAGTTTGGACCCAAATATTACACAGGTCGCATGATCGGCCACTGCGCCGGCACACCATCTCCTCACGGATACCTCTAATTTTTTGTAAGGATATACTTAATAGGCTACAAAACCCATCCCGGATGATACCGGAAGCACTATGCAAAAAACTATGCTAGGACTTTGCGATTACCCAGTCAATGGGAAATTACCCAATCAGCGGGAACCACAGTATGAGTATTCAACTATTACCTAGCTCGCTTGCTTAGTTAACCCTGATAGTAAACATCCTTGGTGCACCGTATAAAGAGTCGATTGCGGAATCATCTAGTGTCAATTATATGGATATGAATTCCGCAAGCAACGGACACGACCGAAATCTAAGCTGCTGCCTTATTCTGCGCAACTACCACCACCTAGTAGGGCTGGTAGTGGAACTGAACATCTTGGGAAGTGATATTCAAGATATGCTCGCTCTCCCGCAAGCCACCGCTCAATCTCATGAAGTGCCCAAAGATCATTGTCTGGCACTGACACACGGCTTGAATACTCCCAGCCAAACGTCGCCCCTTTCCGATTTTTCAACGACTCGCCTTGCGGCAAGCAGGAATCAAAATCAATGATGACTGGACGCCCATCTTGAGCGAGCATGATGTTATCCGGGTTGAGGTCGTTCTGAGAGCATCAGCAAACGACATCGTAGAGTGAAGCAGAACCTACATGAACATAGCCGAGAGAATGGAGGTGCAGGAGTCCTGCTCGAATTCCGTCGATAATCGAAGAAGGCTCTGCCTGAGGAAGGCTCTCTCCATCATCCAGCTCCTCGAAAGCTGCGCGAAGTGTCTTTGAATGGCGTTCAAAGCAGAGGCCCGCGATATGAAAACTGTCCGGGTGAGGGAGATAGCCCAAATACCGGCACAGATTTGGATGGGGTTGCTTTCTCAGAGCTTCGCATATCTGCAACTCATGAAGTTGAATATCGGCGTCAGTGAAAAGTGGCAGCCGCTCTGGATCTGGGTCATAGGACGAGGGTTCAACGGATTTGACATGCACGTTTGCGTCCGACTCGGACCCTTGCGGCGCAATTGTCAGCCTTGTGCCAATGGACGGATCCGGAATGCGCGCTCGGTAATAGTCTCGTGGAACGAGTGTTGCACTTTTGAAGAATTGATGCATTGCTTCAGGAGAGTCGTCATAGGTTTCCTGGTTGTGGCGATAGCAGTAATAATCGCCGTTTTCTATGAACAACATGTCGTAGTATTCCATCACGACATGCCCTTCGCGCTCATAGATGTCATCGTTCAGAACGCCTGCCGCCCAAAGCAAGCGAAAGTCAGATCCTCCTAGCGCAGCGAGGACCGAGTGAGCTGCGAAGCGTCATGACAAGGCCACATACCTTGTGTGTCCGACATGGTAGTCAAGACTCATAAAAGCACCAGATGACAAATTGATGTGGCTCACACATGTACACACACACCAAATTTTCTATGATTGAAGGTAGGTGGACAAGCTTAAGCGGTGTAGCACATACTGATTAGAAATAGAGTCCAAGTGGGTTATTGAACCATGTACTTCTGCCAGTGAGTACTTAGGCGACCATTGATGCTAAACCAGTATATGAGCTGAGGTTAGTCCGAGTCAAGAAATAAGTAGCTTGATGTCAGCTTGGCTGCACGAGGGGGTCGTGATAAGATAATATCCGCTGTTCAGTGGTGGCTAGTAAGTATGAACCCAAAAACGATTTTCTATGACCGTTTTAGTAAGGACCCAAGTTGTGTAACATGGCTGACGTACGAGGGATCGAGCCCTGTCTCTTTTTCTCGACAAACTGTTCCACCACAAACCAGTAGAGTCGTGGCCGGCCCTCCGTCAGAACACCAGAAAACCAATCAAAAGCAACTGTTACAACAACACGCGGATCGCGGACCTCGGTGGAAACCACCGCAGCCCACCCTTCAATCTCGTCAGGGACACCGGTTAGGAGGAGGGCCACGAACACTGGGGGCATTACCTAAGGCGTGCTGGAACACGCGGGCCGGCCGCAGAGCTCACCGCGTACCTACCGCGGGCTTGCTCAGTGACAACTTTCTTTGTCCTAGGACAAAGAAATTCTTTGTTTCTGGGTCCGCGCTAGCAACGCGGCTGGCCCGCGGTAGGTACGAGGTCAGCCACGCGTTTGACCCGCGTGTTCCGGCAAGCCGTAGGCTGTGCCCCTAGTGGAATTGAAGTTTTTTGCATCCTTTTTCACTCAATAGCAGCACCATGTCCTCGAGAAGAGGCAATGAATCCAACGCAAGATGCGTCAAGCAAGGGAGGCGGATGAGAAAGGGTACTGCGCGTGGGTCGGTATTGAGGAATGAATCGAGTAGCTCCAAATGAGTGAGACAGGAGAAAAAACTATCCTGTGGGTTCAGCTCGGGACCAGGCAGAGCTTGGTGGATGTGAAAAACAAGGTATTGAGGCTTTGGAGAGAGGGCGCGAAACAGTGAGAACATCTCAGAGGCAATTTCCGTGGTGAGGAAGCCCATGGCAAAGCCAATGCTCCTCGTACATAGAGGCAAGACGGTGCGTATTCGTGCAAGGAGGTCAAGATTTATAGTGTATTTAAAGTCGAGGACAACCCGAGGTTTCGTAGCGACAGCTGCCATAAGTGCTTCCTGTGCGCGGTCCATATTTGGTCGAAGGATCACCTCGCGAAAGAGCATCGGCTCCAGCCTGAAAGTGTGTGCTAGATGGCCTATGAATCCCAAAAGAACGTACCAGATGTGGGTGCGACGAGCAATCAAAAGTAACTTGGGGACATCCAAGATGTTCATCTCTGCCGCTGTTTCCAGTATCTCTCGTTCCAGCTCCGGTAAAAGTTTTGCTAGCCCCCTCAACATGGTGGTCGGTGGAAGGTGAATTGTTAATGGCGCGTGATCTACATTCTGCCACCCCTGTCGACGCTGAAAAGTCGAGCCTTCTATTGGAATTGGAACAACTTGAAAAACATCATGTGACAAATTGATGGGAATTCAATATCAGGCAGTAACTCGTCTGAGTTCCAAGTTTACACAGCTACATATACGACAGAGGCGGCAAGGTCGGGATAAGGGCCCTCAAGTCCTCCTTTATTAACTCTGGGGGCAGCATCGCAATCATGTCCATCGGTGCACGCCGAACCAAAGCTAACAGATTTAATCGCAGCTCGCGCAACGATTTGCTCTCCTCGCCATCATCCGGCTCTTCCGTCTTCACAGAAGTCTGCATCCGCACGATCAGCTTTGCAGTATAGTCCAGGACGGCCTTCGTTTGTGCTGGCGTCGACATGATTCCAGCGGCAACTCCGATTGCCTTGCCCGCCCATTCGTTCTCGCTCTCGGTGACATCGGCTGGTGTGTGGAGAAGAGAACCCATATCAAGTTTGTGTGCCAGAACTTGTTGAATGAGTCTGAGCGTCGCAAACGCAGCAGGGCGGGACATTCTGCGCAAGCGCGATTTGAGCAGGAAGTTTGTCGTCCTTTAGTTCTGGTTCATCAGCCCGGCCCTTTGTCTCCTGAGATGAACCAAGTTCTCGCACGACCCGTTCGATAAGCTCGCTCCTGCCATCGACAAGGGGGGTGACGATATTTTGCTCAACCCAAGAAGCCAGACTACAACCGAGTGGAAACTGGTCAGGTTGATCATCGATATCTTCCATCTTGATATCTTCTCCATCCTCTTCATCCGTATCCAATGGCGGTGAGGAGATGAACTCCGCCAGGCTGCGAACGTAGGCCAACCCCTCAACTCCACCATAAAGCATATCGATTATATAACCTTCTGCTTCCAATTTCCGTTCCTTTCCCCAATACTCTTTCTCCGGCTCGGTCGCCCGGACTTCGAATACGTTGGTCAAGGTAGACAAATGACGCGGCGGAGCTTCAACAGTAGCTTTAACGGCATCCTTAGCCAGCTTTTCCGCCTCATCATGGAGCTCGGGAACGACGCCACCAATCCTGCTATGCAATAGACCCGCGACTTTGGCGAAAGAGCCAAAGTCAAGTATGTGGGCCTCACGAGGCTCCTCCCATGATCTCTCATACACTGGTGGTGGATCCAGAGGTCGTCTATTGCCAAAATTACGATGAACAGTCCAGTGACGCAGATTTGATGGAATAGATGGTATTGGCGTTGGCCGAAGGTCTTGTGGTAAGAGAGTTGGAAGAGGATAGAGGTTAGTGATGTTTGGAGCTGGGGTTTCTCCAATAGGGTCTGGCGTGTCACGAGAGGGTGTGGCAGATGCATGAACATTATTCGATTGTGGTTTCGGTGGTGGCGGAGGGAAGATGGGGGTGAGTAGAGGCCGGGTCAGTGGATCGGGAACGAGAGCAGAGAGATGAGTAAAAGGGTCTTCAATTGCGCGGTAGTCTAGACTACCGTCGGTCCGTGTTGGCGGACCATGTGTCTCTATTCGCAGTCGTTCTTTCTTCGTCTTATATTTCTTCGCTGCACAAGTTATTTAGATCATCAATGGATTGGGAAATGAGAACAGGGCACAGACCTTTCAGCTTCAAGCTCAGCATTGTCCTCGCCCAAGCTGACCCTGGAGGAAATGCGCCTAAACCTTCTTTGGAGCCAGGCATCCGACCTTCTGCATCTATGAGTTCCTTCACTGCTGCGGTGGGGTTCGTCTCCATCGCATTATCTTTTGCGGCTCGAGGTCGCAGAGGTCCACGCCTGAATGATGTCGAAACCAGCGCGGGAAACCCAAGGCCGATTGACGGAGACCTGCTCCTTTCGGGCCCAGCCATCTCAGCCTCCTCTAACGCAGCGGTGTAGTCTTCAGCAGTATCGTCCTCTTTCTCTATTTCAATATTCCAGTCCGTTTCGTATTGAATTACAGTCGATGCTGCCTTGGTAATTTGGTCGAGACCCCATGCTTCGATGCGTTCGGCTTCAGTGTGGTAGATATTGTCGGGGGGATTGAATAGCTTTGCATTGCCAGTTACAAGACGGAAGTCCTCCTGGGACAAGTATGAGCGCCGATTGAACACGAAATGGAATATGAACGGACTGTAAACTCCTCTAGTGAACGATACCGACCACGTTGAACTTTAATTGACATTGTGCCAAAGTCCATCGGCCTCTTGATAATATCGGAGTAGCCTGGCACCTGAGATGCGTTCACCGGCTTCGAGAAAAAGAGGTAATCGTCTTTCCTATGGGATCGTTAGAGAAAGACACAAGAATGAATGGATCGCGCACTTCTTCAGCATAGCTAGCAGCCTTGCGAGTACCTCCTTCAATGGTTTCAGTTTCACGGGCTTTGGTGGCGCCTTCTCATCCGCATATTCAGAGAATGCGAACTTTCTCTTGGACTTCGATTTGGATTTGGATGTTGAGCCCTTGGTTTTAGGCTTAGACGACTTGGATTTCTTTGACGGACCTGCGATGGGCGGTTCATAATAGTTGGGAGTTACTCGTGGAGTTTGTTGAATCACTGGTGGCGGTTGTAGGTCGCGGCGAGGGGGCAAAATGAGCTTGAGTTTGGGAAGAGATTGTGGAGGAGCGGGAGGGGCTGAATCCGGAGATTCCGAGTCAGATTGGCTGCCTGTCGAGGATCCGGAGCTCCAATAGTCCATATCTACGCCCGTTAGCGAGACGCGTCCACTGACGCGTGCTGGACGAAATCAGGAGGTGTGACTGTTACTTCGTGATTGTCACGTCGTGACAGCTTTCTCCCTCAAGTTCCTCAACCTCGAGTCCTCGACTTTGAGAGGTTGTGGTTATCCTCCCTGAAAACTGAATCTCATAAAAACATACATTGACTTACCACCGCACCGAATTAACCACTCTCAAGCTATCGATTTTTCCGATCTTGCACACAGAAAAGAAGGAAAACAGGCAGTCAAGCTGTTATTCTCTCTCCGATCCTTGGAAAGAATCTACATTTTCCAGCATCAACTCCGACGCACATAGCCATAACTCATGACCTCCCATGACGCCGCAACGCGCTCAAGATTCCGAACGGACCACGACGCTTGTGCTCCGCCCCGAGGACTCAAGTCAGAAGCATCGTGCTTCGAATACCGTGTAAATCGCTTCTTTTGTGCTTCTGTCGTTCTTCTCAGCATCGAACCGTTGACAGCCGTGCTGACCATCCAGCCATGAACTTTATTGACTCTGTAAGTAGGTTTGCATGAACAACTCATGAAGCTTGTTGTTGATTTGATTCGAAGCTGATTGACGACAGCCGGACGTGCAATCTCTTCTTCAACGGAATCCTTGTCACATATCCGTTTACCGCCGATATATCCTCATGACATCAGTCCCTCCTCGCTTGGATTCAGAATCAACTTGCACATCTGGAATCCAACTGACAATGTGTGTGTTTCCGCAAATTGGGTGGAAACTGTATATGAGCTCAACCACTATAAGTCATGATAGAAACTGATGGTTCTCCATCTACATTTTTGCTGGCTTCCTCAGGAACTGAACACCTAGTCCAAGGAGTGACAGGCTTGTGACATGATCGACGCGATCCGCTTCCGATTCCGTTGTCCCGTTGCCTCCCGTTGCCCGAGATCATCGATACCAACCTTTTCTCATAAATCTCGTCGCAACCGCTTGGGTGTTCCAGACCGGGACCCTCTAATCGCCGCTCTGCTCCCTCAAGTAAGCCCTTCCGACATCGAAGTGAATGTTATCATCGATAGAGCTGTGTTGTGCGAGACAGACACGACGGGAAAAAATGGGTAGCAACCAGAAGGGAGTTGATTCTTGGAATGGACCCAAGAGTGTGGTACGCCCCTGCTATCCTTGGTCTTATTGCACTGTGCATAGAGCGGCATACATATGCTAACCAAAGCTATTTCTACGGGTGTTTTGACTGAAACGTTCGCGGCGGCGCAGTTTACCCACTAAGTAAAATTCCCATTGCCATGTGCCAGCCACGCGCCCTCAAACATCTCGTCCTCGAAAACCCGAGATGATGAATCCTTTGAATCTGCCATTTGGGGGGCCAGGAATACCACTCCGATCATCGCTAGCTCGGAGAGCGCCGCTGTCTCCGTCTTTGGCTTCAGCGTCCCAAGCCCTTAAAATCAGGCGCACGCCCCCAAACGAGGGTTTTCTTATCACTGTGATTCCGGTGGATCTTATTGCGTGAGTGGGCAATATCTTTAATTATGGTCGTTGGGACGGATGTTCAGTGTAAATTGACCGAGACTGTGCTCAATGAATCGCACGCAAACTTGTCATTTCGGAATCCGGCCGAATGACATAAGCGGGGGGTGACACTGGTTTATGTCATGTCGTCGTTGCCTGATTCGGCTACATGAGCCGCAACTGTTGCTACCGTTGTTTGGCTTCAAGCACAGCGCCGAGGACCATCGGGCCGTCGTTTCTGCCCAGATAACCCACTAGGACCACCTAGTGGCCGTTGTAAATGGTGAAGCTGGGCCGAGGCGCGTAATTGCGCATCGAACGCGCCAGCCAATGTTTGGAATGGTTCCGAAAGATTACGGAATGTATGGTTTTCATTAACTGCCATTTGGTTGCGACCTCATTTACGCGAAGACTATTTGGGGCTAGGCGTCACATGAAATATACTCCACTGGGTTCCTGGTGTTTTTCTCTTCTCAACCACCACCTCTTCCTCTTTCCTTCCTAATTCTGCATGCGCCTGGGTTCTGATTCACCTTCAATGTGTTGAATTGTGCGTTGGGTTCTTACCTCTGCACCACCCGCCCACCAAATCGCTGCATTGCATGTCTAAATCTCGTTCAGCTACGCCCAAACCTAATCTCCGCGTCCCCGCTACCTCTCATTCCCCGTCATCTTCACGAACGCCGACCAACGATCCTACCACCACCACTGCTGCTGTCTCCCTCACTAGACCTTCAACGAACCCTTCTGGAGAAATTTCTCCCATCCACCAGCAGCTTCCCCACGTCCATTCATTTGTATCATCGCAAACTTCTCCCAAAGACCACCCACGCCCTTCTCCTGAACCTTCCAGTCCACGAATGGCGAAACGAATGCGACGTAACTCCCCAGACGAAGAGTCATCAGACTCAGAGAGCCGACATGACGAGCACCAGTCCCGCTCCTCATCCGAAGCTTCACGATCTCCCCAAGCCCAAGCACCTCTTCCCCTGAAGAAAAAGCGTACAAGGACTCTGACCACGCCCCACCAATCAGCGGTCCTTCACGCTTTACTTGCTCAGTCGCGATTTCCGACGACAGCGATGAGAGAAGAAGTCGGACGTGCCATTGGGCTCAGCGCACGGAAGGTCCAGGTGAGCTAAACTGTCATCTCCGCCAAAGCCTTTTTCCTGACCATGTGCCCTAAATCTGTATAGATTTGGTTTCAAGTAAGTTATTTGTGTGTTATCACTACGCGACACGATACTAATCTCCTTTCCCCAGAATCAGCGTCAAAAAGCGCGTCGACCAGGAGCCCAACAGCAGCAGCAGAGCCAGAGCCATACCCAGAGTGGCGTACTTGCATCTCAGCCATACCCGACTTACCCGAATCTATTGGCTCCCGTCCCTGGTGCATTTACTGGTCAACCCCCATTTAGTGGTGGCTTCCCACTTGGGGCTCTCGACACCTCGCAGGCGCAGTTACTGGGGCCTGGAATACCAGGCCCTAGTACAACAGCTCCTCGCCAGCGAGGTCGTCCTGTTTTACATGTCTCTCCTACGGACCACCACCCGCGAGAGCGCCCTTCTTTGTCGCCATACTCAGCTCCCCCACGTTCACGTTCTGGCCTAGAAGATTCGTTACCCAGTTTTCGTCCTCGTCAGCATGATCCAGCACGAACACTTCCTCCATTGGATTTTACTCACCAACCCATGCGCCGGAGTGATATGTCCCCTTCATCTTATCTGCTGGGTGGCTCCGCTCCCCCGACTCCGTTTGGAGGTTCTCCTCCGGACTCAGCATCAACGTCCGCCTCTTTCCGACCCTCACCGCCTGGCCTTTCTCGATCACGCTCTCCGTCTCCACAGTTTGCCCACAACCTCCCGCCTCCAGGTCTTGAGACACAGTTACCGTCATACTCCTCGACTGTGTTGGGTCTACCGCCTCCATTCACGTTACAGCCACAACCACAGTGGGCTTCACACCGACCCCCATCTCGGCCAGACACATCATCTTCCTGGTCCCAGACTCGTGTTTTGCCTTTGGCTAGTCTGCAACCCACACATGACGATGATGACAACACTCCCCGTCTCGAAGCAGCTCGGCCACCAACTGCATCGAGTTCTCGAGTGGGTCGATATGACCCCGTTCGCGGTGGCTTTGTTCCCACAGGGACCCCCTCCCCCCCTGCCTAGTGGCTTTCTCTCCCTCCCCCTCTCTTCGTTCATGCCCCCTTAATTCTAGTGGTCGGGATCGTTCACGTTTACTCACGAACCCTCACGTCGCATTTCCACGACGAATAGTCCCTCATTTGTTGTTGTTGTCCACGCACACACCCTGACGCCCTGTCCTGTCCTTTACTCTATCACGACACTCACTCGCTCGCTCACTACCGCCCGGATCTCGCTTGTTGCTCTCACTAATCTAACAACTCCGGTGTACTAATAACTAGCTAATACTCTCCCTTATATGGTGCGTCTCCTAATAGGACTACTTCGAGACACTCTACCGTGACTTTTTTACTTGACCCGTGTATCGCTTAAAATTATCCAAGCCAAGTGTAGTATTTGTCCTTTTCCTGATACAAAGTAGTTTACCCACCCGTACTAGTTCGCTATTGTTGTCATTTACACAAGCCCAGAATCACTGGAAACTGAATTCCATTCCGCACCCCGTTTCCGAGTGATTTATTAGTCGGTCAATACTACAGCGAATTATATCTCCGCTTCTCAGCAGCGAGGCGGACTCGAAGCTGTGCCTGTTTCCGCAATCGTGCTTCCACAGCAGCCGTATCAACATGGTCTTTACCGTCAAACCCCATTGTCGCTGATGCACTGGCACCATTCGCTCGATTTGCTCTCCTTTTTTCTTCTTCTAGCCGCTGAAGAAGCTCCGCTCGTCTTTTGTCGCCGTCCGAAGACAGTAGCACCTCCATATTGCCCCCGCTGCCATCCCGCACTGAACCTTGTTTTCCTAGGACGACGAAGAATTTTAAATTGATGAGTGAGAAAAAAAGAATGAGGGCAGCTCACCAGGTGGTGATGATTGTGGCGCCGTTGGAAGAGGGACGCCGAGCCGGGTTTGTCGAGCAGTAGTTAGTGCCATCATTTCCGGGGCGGAAAGCCGCGGTCGCGATCGGACCATATCACCCAAGATATGAGAAGAAGAGTCGATAATCTCTGCCGGGGTTAGTGGGCGCGTAACCCCGTCAATTGGGCTTCCCTGGGAGACAAATGGTTGTCCCGTGCTAGGGTCTGACATTCGCAACAGCAAAGAAGGGGGAGAGGAGGCGTCTTTCTCGTTATTATCGGTTTCGTTTGAATTGGCCCTGAGTCTAGACATCTTCGCAGAAGAGCGCTGCATTGTTCTGTCAGCTGGACGTGCGACGAGATGAGCCTGAACGCTCTCCAATAAACTCCGATGGCGAACGCGTGGGGGCTTTCGTACGGGTGCTGATGATGGCAAATGTGGTTCCCCAGAAACATGACCTTTAGAGATTTCCTCTTTCGACCGAGAATGGTTGGTGTCGCGCGATTCTTTCGTGAGATTCTCCTCCCTCAAAGCAGCAGCAGCACCAACGAATGAGAGCACTTTTTCTGGTCCAGACCCTGGCTGACTTGGCTTGCTAAACCTCGTTGGGTTAGGCAGATCGCGGGACCGAGTTTCTTCATCATGAAGCCTGCTATCACCGCCATCTTGGAGAGACATTAATAGTGGTTCAGGCGCAGGCGAAGCTGATCCCAGCGAGATGACGCTTCCCTCGCTTGGGCTCGGGAGACGGGCTTTGCCTTTACCCTTGACGTCATGGCCTTGGGCCATCTCCACCACATTGTTACTCGAGGTCGAACGATCAACGGGACGAGCGATGTCGTCTTCGCGTGAAGTTGAGGTATTGGTATATCTAGTTCGTGAATTTGACCGGGATTCAGAGAATGAGTGGGAGCGACTACGTCTCCGACGTTGCTCTGGAGATATTGACCTTGACGGTGAGTGCCATCTCCGACGCCGTCTGGTATGCGGTTGAGGAAGCGTGGCGGGGACATCGTACTGTGAAAGTTTTCATTAAAGGCATGTCCTTGGGTATGAAATGCTTGACTACCTGAACGACATCGTCGTAAACAAATAAGTCTTTGTATGGGGATCGTACGAAAGAATAGACTTCTGCGTTCATTAGAGTTCATTAGCTGTCAGCCCAGTATAGGAAAAGAGACCCACCGTGAGCAAAGTGTTCCGCGTTTACGTGCCTCTCACCCTCCACATATGGGGCGTCTAGATCCAGAAATTCGGCGAGCAACTTGACGGCAGATTCGGACCGGATGTCGATGGCTTTCATAAGAGAAATAGTGAAGTTCGTTAAAAACTGAAGCGATGGGTGAGAACAGATAATGAACTCAAGTACTTGTACCAACTTCGACGTCCAAGTTGACCCATACTCGTAATTCTCTACGCAGAAACATGATTGTGCGGGCGATTGTGTCATGTGAGGCAGTGAACTGTGCTGGGGTAGGATACGGACGGTAGCGCGTGTGAGAATTGGACGCGACATGCTTGACAGACTTGAATAAAAATAGAATGTGTGTTGAAAGACGCACCTTGGCATATAGCCCGTGCTCATAAATCCATCTTCTCTTCACGATCGAACGGTCGAGCCGATCCGCTTCGTCGTTCTCATCTGGCTCCCTGATTCCCCACTGACGCTCCCTATATTGGCGCCGAGGACCACGCGTTCGCTGCAGCTGTCTCAGAGGCAAAGTCTGGATGGGTCGGGGTGATGTCGCCAACGGCGCTAGGAAGTGCTTTTGGTAATCGAATCGCGAGCGAATGTGGTGGATGAGGAAGTCTCCCACGGATTGCGAGCATAGTGGACAGCGGCGCGACTGGTCTAGAGAGAATGTCCTAAATGATCAGAGAAAAGATGGGTCCTGAGTTGCGTTGGCTGACTCACCCGTCCAAAGCAGCAAGCAGTCGAAACAGAATTCATGAGAGCAGATTGGAACAAGGGTGCGGTCTATGATATCTTGCAGACATATAGAACATCTATCGGAGTCTTCTTCTTCTTCTATCTTCGTTTCTGGTTGTTGCTCCTCAGTTTCTGCAAAGTGAGTGTTTGTGACAGGCGGGGAGTCCATTTTAACACGTTTTGGTGAAGGACTCCTGCTTGTGGACCTAGCCATCCGATATTGGGATGCTGGATAACTCAACGCTGAACCAGCGGACGGTAAAGGTGCTGAGGAGAAGGAAGTGGTCACAGACAAGTCACGATCATCACGTGCTAAATTTTACCAGACCAAAAAGCAAGATAACTTCGCATACACACTTCTTACTACAAACAATAAAAACCGTTACCAGGATAATTCACCAGTCGGGTCTCCGAAGCGACCTACGCAACGACTCGATCAATTGCTCGTAACAGGCCGAAAAAAGAAACGCACCAGTGGGACCATCCTTGTCAAGCAAGCACCAGGGTAGAATATACTTTGCGCCTTGCTCTGGTGTCGCCCCCACCCGCAGTGAAGCCATTTATCTTTGTCGTAGTGAAACCGGGAGTGACAGCATTGACTTTGATACCCTCCGCCCGCAACTCGTATGCCAGAGCGATGGTGTAGCTGTTCGCTGCTGCCTTGCTGGTGTTGTAGGCAACAACTTGGTACATGTAACCTTTGTCGCTTGCCATAAGGGTGTTGGAGGCCATATCGCTGCTAACTGTGACGATGGCGGCTGGGTTTTCCGACGTCGAGGATGCTCTAATGAGAGGAAGGAAGGCCGCGGTGGTTTGAACCAGTCCGAAGAGGTTAGTCTCCATTGTCGCGCGCATAGCAGGGAGACTGGGCTCGAGGGCATTCTGAGAGATGTGCATTTCAGCGACACCTAGGACATGTCAGGGAGAACGGGCATAGTGTTTCAAAGCTTGCTCACCAGCATTATTTACCAGAACATCAAGACGACCCTCATTCTTTTTGATTGAGGCAACAGCGGCCTCTATTGAGGACACATCTGTGACATCAAGCTGAACGAACTTCACATCCAAGTTTTTCTCTTTCTTGATTTTGGCCCTGCAAAGATGAGTGAGTGCACATGTAATAGATGAGATGTTTACGGACACAGCGTCAAGACCCGATTCAAGCTTCCGGGACGCAAGGTAGACGGTATGACCCTTGGCAGCCAAGAGATGAACAAGCTCATAACCAATTCCGGTGTTGGAACCAGTGACAAGAATGACTTTGGGGGAAGACATCAGGTAGTGAAGGTCGAATCAGTGAAGTAGTTGGGGCTTAGCCATGGTATCGCTAGGCATGCGCCTTATATAGGAGACAAAGGTGGGTTATCCATCGCACATGAGTGGGTCAAACTTCTTGTGGATCGTCAATGGGCGCCGGATACTTACAAAAGTGGGACGGAATGACACATCAAGTGGGACGGAATGACACATCAAGCCGCTGACTCAGCAGACCCACCTTGATTCCCTGTTGACGCGAGTTCGTGACCACAACACGACCTACTTCGTGCTAGCACTCAAACTCTTTCGGCCACCATGACCATAAATGCCGGAGTACTGCCTATGGAGCTTCTGCAGCTCATCGGGGAGAATGTCGAGAAGCAACACGACCTCCTCGGTTTACGCCTCGTCTCGAAAGCATTCAGCGTTGTGGCGACCCCTGCAGCCTTCCGCGTCCTTATTATACGAGATAGTGTGGCCAGCGGTGAATCCTTGGCAGCGCTTCAACAATGCGGAAAGCCATCGGTGACCCACTCGGTTTGTGAGATTGTTTTCGAGGGAGACCCAAAAGTTCGTCCGCAAACTGTCAGCTATTGGAGAGGTGAGTTCAGAGTTAAAATCGATATCTCACATTTACTCTGTCAAGATACTCCTCAGTCAGATTATGAAGCTCGAAGAACATCCCTGGCAAAGTCTTTTGCGGGTTTAGGGAACTTTCCGAACCTCAGCCATCTCAAACTCAACTTCCACGATACGTGGGAAGAGGAATACGAGAATGAGCCTCCCGAGAATCCCACTCACTTCCTTCAACTTCAACTGGATCTATTTGCAGTCCTCTCAGATAACCCGGTGCCAACAATCGTCGCTTTGACCCTACACAACATCATCGGGGCTCCACACGACCTCTATCGTCAAGAACAATTTCTGGCCATCTTCCATCATCTCGACTTTCTCGAGATCTCGATTCTTTACGCTAAGTACATTGATGTCGGTGGTTACTACATCCAATACCCAATTCAACTTTTCTGGCAATCCGACATACATGGCATCTTGCTCAACGCGAATGCTGTGAAAACTCTCGTCCTTCGTAGTGACCATCCAGTTGGCTCAGACCCGGTGCTGCCTCTGACTGATCTGAGCTTCCCCCAACTACGCTCACTGACTCTTCAAAAATTCTGCATTCTTCCGCACGATCCAACCGCTGATGTCTTACCATTCATTCTTCGACACAACTCTACTCTCATTCGTCTCGAATTATACGACTGTTCTGTTGATGGAGGCGAGGACCAATGCTATGGCTATCCTCGGCCTTGGCATATCGTGTTCAATATGCTCCAATTTGGACTCGCCAATTTGCATCACTTTGTTCTAGAGAACGGGGATGCGACGCCCGAGGGAGTTGACAGGCGGTTCTCGTATACATTTCTGCCTAACAGCGATTATCGCTACGCCCGACTTGGAATGGGCCAGGACCATGGCCTCGATGATGGACTGCCTGTGGATAATGCAGACGACTTGAAAGCACTGGAGGCATTTCTCGCCACCCTCGATTCCAGACATCGATGAGTACCTAAAGTAACTCTTTCCTCAATATTGTAAACCGTAGAAGATCTGTTTTTCTCCAGACGTGTGATTCTCAATCGGCAAAAAAAAAAACTGAACTGGGAGGTGAAATTGCCTGGTAGAACCTGAATTATAATATCGACGTAACTTTCAATTAAAGCAGGGGCAGGTATCTCCGAGGAAGTTGAACGACGCGTACTTGAACCAAACTTGAACACACCTTTCCCAAGCCCATCTCGCCGGCTACAGAATAGCATGAGAAAGACGTTTTCGTCAAACGAAGTTTTCGCACCCAAGATACCAGAAATGCCCTGACTGTGCAAGCCGATCATCCACGCCAGTCCTTCGAGTTGGTAGTCCCTCAAACAACATTCTCGTTGGGGGTCTGCTGGGGTCTGCTGCTCCATTTCTTCGGTTATAGGTTGTAGACCGTCGCCCCCGACGAACTCGCTTGGTTGGTCGTTTGGCCCGCTCTTCCTCCGCCGTTCTTCGCCGAACCTCCTCCATTTGTTGCTTCAGGAGCGCGCTGTAGGCGACACTGCGGTCGAGAATGCGCACCTATCCTCAGTGAGACCATGGTCATCCGGTTCTGCCTCTGTCTCAATCACTCCTGAGGTAGCAGAAAGAAAGGGATTCGAGTCCTGCACGTAAAACAGTTGGTTGTAAGTGGACAGCGACGAATTGTGGGGACCCACTTCGTCTGACTTGGACTGGGGTGTTGTCTTGCCTGTTTCAGGGGTGTGGTGACGACGGTGCGGTGCTGGGCGGCAAAGAGGACCACATCCTCGATGGGGATGGCGAAGGGCTTGCCGTCGAAGACGGAGTAGCGAACGACGCAGCCATGGAGGTCAAGAACAAGAAAAATGATGCGTCAAGTCACAACGTGACTTGACGCGTCAATGCCACCCTTAACGCTTGATATTTTATGAACTTAAGCTCGATATGATGATAGGAAGATATGTACTGTAATGGTAAGTAGCCGAAGGCAGAATATCGTAGCCACGAGTAACGGTTCAGTAACGAAGAATATGTAAAAGGTATGGTAGAAAATGTATCAGTTTGCTTAAGTTAAGCTTTCCTTTTCTTAGCTGGAATAGTCTTATGTTCTGTCGAAGGCCTTTTTTTCCCAGTCACCTCGGCTACGGCTGGCAATAGAGCTTTCTGTTCGGCGCACCATTGAGCCAGATCGAGGATATCATGTTCCAGGGCAAATACGGTCAAGCGGTCAACAAGGGCATGTTTGCGTCTAAGCGAAGGGTCAGTTTGGATTGCTTTGCTGCAGCTGCCGAGGAGTGAGAATGAGATAAAAGCACCGAACGTTGCTTACAAGTCCTTCAAGACATCCCATCCAAACGTGCCACAAGCGGAGGCCATACCGTCAATACCAACAATGGATATGTTCTGCTCTGCTTCCGATACAGCCAGCACGCGAAAGAACAATTCAAGGTCTTTCCACCGTTCCGCGCATTGACACAGTAGAGTCACGGCAACAGGTATCCTTGAGGCCTCTTTCTTTTTTGCTTTGGTCCGCTGCTCTTGTGTGGCGTAGAACCAGATATTGTCTTCCGCATGCTTCTTCTCAACGGGGTGCTTGAATGCGCTGATGCGGGATATCAGAGCCTCAGCGACAATTTTTTCTCGTGGCGTCGGACTCGTGGTTGTCAAGGTGTTGAAGAAGTGCGCAGCATAATCATACATGTCCCCGGGAACAACGCTCCGGCCCAGCTCACTGTCATCCAACAAGATTAAAATGACAGTGCGTTTCCAGGCTATGTCCATTAGTTTCGGTCCTGAAGAAAAGGATTTGAAAATCCTACTTTTTATGCGATGTGCGGACTAAGGGTAATGAGCAAATAAATTGAATACGAGGAAGAACTTGAAGACGCACAGATCTCTCGTCTCTTTCGAATTCAATGTTGTCAGGTGTTCTCGTAAAATCGATGACTGGTCCACAAATATAATCCTGTTCGTTGTACTCTTTCATCGTCAGCTCATCGACGTCGACTGGCATCCCGCCCATGTCAACAACTTGCTTGATTACCAGGAGGTTTTCGCCGTCATCGTCGCTTCCCTCCTGGTCAAATTCACTCTCATCAAACTCCTCTTCATAGTCATCATCGTACGGGTCATATCCCCGAATGTGGCATGAGAGATGGACCTTTCCTTCCACGTGGGCCATATAGAGCCTGAATCCGAGTTGGCGGGCCACTGAACTGAGCTCTCGCGAAAGAAGTTTATCCGCTCCCTTGAGAGACATAGAGCTGAAGGCTGGGCCGTGTTGGTATGTTCTACGCAGCACACAGGCGAGATGTGTCGGTGGAGGCGGCGTCACCATCGAATCGGCCTGTTTCAGGGACAACGTAGATTCTTTCCAGGTCTGCAAGACGTGATGCAGCTTCTTGACCGGTTCGGACATGTCGGGTAAACCAAAGGAAGGGGAGTCGATGGTCGGGACAATGTTGTAGACAAGAGCAACGCGATGACCGTCCCTGACGGACCCGGAATCAAGCTGGCAGCCAGCATACCAAGCGACGATGGTAGTAGATTTGCTACTATCTGTTGCAACGTCGAAGTTCTTCTGAAAGCCGTCCACGTCAACGTTGGACTGGACAGCGAGTTGACTGCCCTCAAAATTACTGGGTAGGAAAAAGATCACATATCCGACGGCAGAAAACTCTTTCGAAGCTATGGGTGCCCTGCAGATGTCAATATCTCGTAGCTTCGGAAGACCGCAACGCACTCGCAGCCACGTTTACTAACGACCAGCTTCTGAAACGATAGAGAACAGGATCCAGAGAGAGCGAAATTTTCCGTCACGAGTCGTGCGATGGTACCTTGGACCCAGGCATCCCACTGGGGGCTACCAAACGAGATCTGTCAAACCAGGATTATCGGATGTGATTGTGAAGAGGGAAGCAAGAGAGGAAACCTTGTCAGGTGCGACTTCACACAAGTTCTTGTCAGAAAAGGAAAATGCGTGTGCATCACGCTCGCCGAGCGGGATACCGACCGAGCCCACATCATCAACCGTCAGGTATGGATTTGGCGCGTCGCCTAATGGATACTTGATCGAAAACGCAAAAGTGCCGTCGAATGCAAAGTCGCTCTTTATGAGTGCCTCGAGATGCTCCTAATGGTTAAGGGTCAGTGCAGTTCGAGAAAACGCGTGAAAACGCGCTTTGATTCCGAGCGGTCGCGTCTCTTCAGCTGGTGGTTCAACTTTAGTCACCAACTTTAGATTGAACAAGCTGTCCGTCTGTGAGGCTTTTATTAGTCCTGGGGGGAACACGCACCGTGGTGAGGCATTTTTTCGCTCCGTTTGCTTGGTGCGTGCCATATGATGTCTAATCCAAGACGTGGTTGTGGCCCTGAACGAAGGGACCGATGTCACGTGAGGACCCTGACTGTTTGTGAAAGGATTTGCGTGATTGCCGTGAAAAACTTCTTTTACATAGGCCCCATTTCTTGTCCCATGTTTTTCGTCGACTACGAAGCCTCCTACTCGACAACAATCAATGCCCCAGTGCAGACCGTGGTCGATTTTCTCCATGATCCAGCGGGATTGATGCGTCTGAACCCGGTCATCATCGACGTCAAGAACGACCCCAACGATTCACAGAAGTACATTATCGTCGACCAGCTGAACATGCTCGGCTTCAAGAGGCAGTTGACATATACTTCGAAGGTGACGATTACAGAGGCCGGGATGGAGGCGGAGAGTAGTGCCGGCGCGGGAACAACCACAATTGCCCGCTTTATTGCGAAATCTGCCGGTACAGCCATAACGGAGCTAGAAGAGAGAACCAGCGTCAATGTGCGTCTCCCATAGCTCAAGTTTACCCCACCCTCATTACTACGAAAGTGCTTCTTCCTCTTCTTGCCATTCATTAAAGGGGTCATTGCTAAATCACATACTGAATCGCATGCGCGCTTGAAGAATAGGCTTGAAGGAGTTGAGGTAAAGACACATTAGGATGACACTAATTCGGGACTGTTCAATAATAATATATGCCTCTCCCACTACTTACCGGGTCTCTTCGGCAAATGTACGAGCCCACTCATTCTCCATGCCAATGCCCCATTCACGAACGGAAGCTTGGCCACCAACCACATTACGTTCATTCGCATCCATGACACCCAGTCCATCCTACCTTGCTCCACCTCCATGATCCCCTCGACCATATCGATAACTTCACGAGCTACGGCTCGTCTACGAACACCCCAAGCATTCAACTTTTCGAGTGAGCCAGTTGATATGGCCTCCGCAAGTTCACAGCCATCGCAAACACCCTATACTAGTAGTCAGTACCCTTGCAAGAAAGGTGACAAGAATACGTGCCAAATGCATCCCTTGAGCACCGCCAGGGCCGTGAGTATGCGCTGCATCTCCGACCAGCAAAATACACGCTTCTCCAGAAGATTGCTGGACATATTGCTCAGCGAGAGCCCGCCTGGTCTGGAAGCGCGAACTCTCCAGAACAGTCATGATTCTTGGCACTGGGTAGCTCTTGTTATGCGACCCCGGTCCATGAGTATCGAGCGCGGCCTGCAGATAGGCTGCATCCGGAGAAGGTGGAGGCATAGTGGAAACCCCGAGATAGAGTCTGTAGAAGTTCTTTTTTTGGTCATCGGACTGCAACGGCGCTGTCAAGACCATGCCTCCACCCCCAACCATCACTTGCAGTCCATTTCGCGGAAGATTTGGTGGTATTGGTTGTTCAAAGAGGACGTCGGCAACAACGAATGATGGGTCGTTACTTGCGGGAGTAGACTCGTTGCCGGTAAATGGGTTGAGGTATTTGATACCAGCGAATTGACGGATGGTGGATTTCGTCCCGTCTGCCGCAACGACATACTTCGCGGTCAGTTTTTCGCCGGATTCGAATGACAACTCGTAGTGGTCCCCGCTCTCTCGCATGCCTAAAACCTTCTTCCGCCAATGCACGACTCCATTCGGAAGAGCTTCGTGCATCCGTTGCTCGAATTTGTGTTGGGGCATGAGGAGAACGAAGGGGAATTTGGTATAAGGCGCGAGATCGTGCATGCGGATCTGCAAGACGGGTCACTCCCAGACATCGATGCTTTGGACTACTCCAGACTGGACGCCTTCAGAGGCGAGTTCACTAGCTAGGGTAGGATGTGTCCAGTTAAGAGCCTGTAAAACGTTAGCGGGGTGATCACAAAGACTTTCAAAGACACACTTCTAAGGCGCCTGGCTGGATTGCGACTGCCCGCGAGCTATTGTGGCCCGACTCGAGCGCATCGACAACGACAAACGGCACTTTTCTGGCGGCAAGACCGAGAGCGCACGCTAACCCACTGGGTCCTGCGCCAACGATGCATACTGTCGTTGAATCAGGTAGGATGGAGGCCATGAGAATGATGACGAACCGAAGTTGAGAAACTGAACATGCGTTTTATGGTGGTTTCACTGAGCCACCAGCTTCCGAGGTACAGGCTCTAGCACATAAGCAGTTATTGCCCGCCGTTGGGAACATTTGACCCATCTTGACGTTGAGCGCCGGATATGAATAGTTAAGAGTGGGTCAATCTTATCGATGCCACAGCACACCGAGTTTCGGCTGGCACTCGACAATCATTTCTGGCTTGGCTCTGACCAGAGTCTGTGTTATCTTTTCGTCGATGGAAACTTCGGGAGAGGGTGGATGTGTCACGGCATCAGACGGCATCACTGGGCGTCACATCACATATCTCTTTGACAAAACAAACTCGAGTTATACTTGCCCATTGCCCAACAACTCCTGTTCGCTCAACTCGCTCACGAATGAATCCGGCCTGTCAGAATATGAAGATTCGGATACTAGAGGGACGAAAGCAATACCCTGAAGGCTGAAGTTGCAGTGTTGTCAATAAGGGTATTAATAAGGGTAGTCCTACAAGGTAAGGCCTTAATATCAAGATAAGCCTTAATAAGGGTACCATAATTAAGGGTGTTAATAAGTAATTTCCTATTTGGGAAATGTTATTTCTGTAGCTATGTACAGCCATCAAAATCATCCCCAGATCCTCCAAGTACACTATCATCAAGCTTCTTCCCGCTGTACTTAGCTTGTAGCAGCTCCATAAGCCCTCCTCCTGTGTAAGAGCTGCACAGCAGCACACAGCCTTCTCCATTTGCATTAGATTGATTGCATTCTTGGAAAAGAGCGTGTTAAAAGTTGCTCGGAGCCTAGCAGAGGTGTTTGGGAAGCACAGTGTTACTTTCCTTGCCAGATTTTAACATACAGTAGCACTGGTGGGGGTGAGAATCCAGTGGTGTGATGCAATCATTAAGCATATTAAGGGCCTTATCATAAATCTTGTCCATGATAAGGGCTTATCATTATCTTATGTTAAGGGCTTAATAAGGTTAAGGGTTATCATCTTATCAACAACACTGTGAAGTTGTGCGATACATCCACTAATATCGAGGTACACCTTTCCTTCGGGCATTGTCTTGACCCTTCACGTCTCTATCAGGCCGACTTCAACGATTGCCCGCCCATTGACTCATGAAGAGGCGTTGGCGTCCGACAGCCTGTTGCTTTCATTACAAAAGCTCTGAACTCCCACCAAATCTATACCTCGAAATTGAAGGGTTAGGACTGGTCCAAACTAATGCTGGCGAAAAGGCAGTCAGATCTCTGAGATCCCGCAACGTACTTATACCCTTCGAAAGCTACTGATTCGTGGCCCTGGCTCTGAGTACGCCTTTCCTGGTTTCGTACCCCCTCTTCGTCAAACTCAAGCTTCATAGACCAACGATGTGTAAAGTGTCTGTCGTTCTATACTCCCGCTATTCTGATCCCTATGTCCATGACGGCGACAATCGTAAACTTGAATTTGCCAACCTTCTAGATTCCAAAGAGCCACAAGTGCGACACGGCGATCGAAACACCACCTTTGGTGAGGAGTGACTGACCCTGATCCGGAAACACCCAGAATATATATAAAGACCACTTCGCCATCCCCCAAGCCTTCAATGTTCAAGCCGCACAGGTATAGGATTTCCCTGTCCGGTTTTGATAGCGGCGCCAGTCGCTGGACGCCGTTATCTTTACAGCCACTGAATATAGCCTCCAAGATTCCAAAAGGGTCTGATACAAGTCATAGCCCTCTGACCCGTCACACTCTCAGCCAGCGACTGTCTCTCATGTCGTGGAATTTACAGGCAACACCTTACAAACGTGTTGAGCGGGCACAGCTCATCTTTGATCGCATCTTCCGCGCCAACCTCCCTGACGTCCTCCTGCTCCAGGAAGTCAACCGTGACGTGCGCAAGGCTATCCTGGCCGACCCCAAGCTGCGCGGGGGCTTCCTGATGTCGGACGCGGACTCCGAAGACGACAGTGCATTCTTCCCCTTCTCGACGATGACCCTCCTGTCCAGGAAGCGCTTCGCAGCGGGCGGAGTATCCAGCGGAGAGGACCAGCTGCAGAAAATGGTGATTAGCGACGCCTTCCGCATGACACTGCCCAGCCGCGACGACAGGGACGCGCTCTGCATCGACGTGTCTGACCCAGTCACGCCGGGTCACGTGCTGCGCCTCATCAATGTGCACCTCGAATCGCTCGACGCCGCTTTCCGACGTGGCTTCCAGCTGTACCTGATGAATGCCCTCCTCCGCGAGGCTGGGTGCAGCGGCGGCGTCATCGCAGGGAGTTTCAACGCTTTTGAGCCGTACGATCTCACGCTTGTCGAGCAACACGGGCTGCTCGATGCGTGGGTCAAGTTGCACGGGCCGCTCCCCCGGGCCGACGTGGGGCACTGGCGTCGACCTCGACGACGGCCTCCAGCCGGCCCGCCTCGACAAGGTCGTGATGCTTGGCCTTGAGCCTGCCCACATGGAAGTCATTCCGCCTGGTCGGTTTGACAACGGGATACCCTGGAGTGACCACTGCGGGCTGCGCTGCACCTTTGTCGTCTGAATCCCTGATAGTGGGTGACTTGGACTTGACGGATTAGCTTTCTTGTCTCAGAGTGGAGATGTGTGTAGAGTAGAATCATCTGGATTAGTTGAGAGTAAAATCATCTGACCGCGTCCGTCTTGTGATTGCCGAACAGGCACGCGTCACGTCAACGGTAGCTTGTCAACAACCACGACCTTGAACAACATCCCAAGCACTTCCTGAACTTATTGCCGTTTGCAGAACAGTTTGGCACGAATGCGATCGGACATGATCGCACCTCCTCCCCACATAGGACAATAGATGATTTGTTTCTCTACAACCACTGCACGTATAAACATGATTTTGGTACCATAATTCACCATTTTTCACGACCGAATTTATGGGCTTTAAATGTTACCTGAATTTGGATGTCATATGATACAGTCAATGTCTGGGTGCGTCAATTATTGTGCAAGAACCTCTTCTTCTTTCTGCATGTTTCAAACACAAAAAGTACTTGGAATTGGATGCTTTATCCACTCACCGAGTTTCAGAATTATTTGTCCATAATCGGGTCCAAAACGGACGCGCCGATTCATCACTGGTGACGTGACACAGAGTTACTTGTCGCGTCTTCCCTCTCTCGACCACCCGCAATGGGCTCAAAGCAACGAAAGCGAGCTGCACAAGACCCAGATGCCCCCAAACGCCCTGTGGGCCGCCCTCCCAAGAAACCAAAAGCCACTCCAGACCCCGACTCTATCTCAATGTCTTCCCTTTCCTCCCTCAGCTCGAGCATCAAGAGCGCATCTCCAGACCTCGAAATTATTGAAGATACAACAAAACAACTTCTTGGCTCGCCTGGCAGTGACCGAGCATCCTCCACAGACAAAGTCAAGTCGCGCAAGAAGGACAAGCTTAGTGATGATGAAATTGAAGAAGACTCCGATTCAGACAGTGACAATGAGGAAGTGGAAGCAGGTGCGTAGCTTTTCTACATTCAGTGCAGCTTTTGACACATCTCAAGAGCTTGGCTCAGTCATCATGACCATACCCTCCAACGACGACCTTGTTGAAGATATTGACATCCCTTTCGAAACCACTTACGATCAATTTCTCGAGCTCATTTCTGAGGCACTCGATACTCGGGTCCCAAATATCAAAATATCCTACAAACTCAACACAGAGAAGCCAACAGAACCACAGCATGCACTCTCTTCCAAAGCCCACTATGACCGACTCATCTCCGCAGCACAAAAAGAGCTTTCGATGCGAGCAGCACTCCCTCCTTCCAAGCGGCCAAAAAAAGACTTCAAGGTTCACATCCATGACAAGCGCGAACGAAACGAACAGTCATCAGGAATGGGAAAGGGTGGGAAAGGAAAGGTAGGAGTATCTTCCTGTTTGATTCTCATCGACAATAATATGGCTACAGGGCAAGTCGGCTAGCAAAAGCATGAAAAAGAAGAAGCACTCTGACGATAGTACTGACGAAGACGACAACACCTCCACCAAGAAGAGCAAAGAGCTGACCGCGGAGGAGCATATGATCAAGCTGGAGGAAGCGTTGCACTGCCAGATGCACAACCGCATGTGCTTTGTGTCGAAGGACCACGGAGAGCATGTGGGGGTTAGTGGTGGGGATGCTTCATTGTGGTCAATCCTTTTGGTGCGTTATTATCATCTTTTCTTCATTCTCTGACTCGTCAATAAGCAAAACAAGAAACACACTTCATACACGGTTCCACCAGCTATTCTAGGACTCAATCTCGAGTCAGGCTCTCGCAGAGCTGCCCCGAGTCGCCAGGGCTGTAGCGAAGACCCATCTTGAGTCTGAACGATGCTCTCTTGAGTGCATTTCGTTCGATGGCAACCCGGGTAAGCTGTTCAAAGTCAGATTTCATCGTCTAGTATATACAATCACACACCTTCTTCATAGTGTAATCCACTTCGCTGCAAGGCCCTCCAAATAGTTGACAGTGAGACATCTCTCCTGCACTGCTCCTCGAATTCGTACTGGAGCTCGTCAAGATACCGGTCGCAGCTTCGATTCAGGCATCCTTGTAAGAACTAACGTAGAATTAGCTTGAAGCGTGTAAGTAGGACTTGAAAATGTACCGCCACCTCCAGTGTGTTCAAGTGCCTCGTTCTCCCTCGTCGCCTATGTGCCCCATTTGATACATCTCCAGTTTCCCGAAAACACTTCTCAATGCGGTAGATTTGACGTTGTGAAACCTTTGTGTAGGCCGTTATTGTCTTCTTATTGAGGGTAGAGCCCATTCGGATAATGGTCCAGCGAAGGTCTGCTGAGACCACTTTGCCCTTTGCCATCGCAGGTGGTTGTGGTCAAGAGAGAGAGAAAGCCGCGTCAAGTTACGCGTTATGTCACAGTGACGACTTGACGCGTCCATTTTGAGCCCAATTATGAATGAATAATTCTGAAATTTGGTGAGTGAATAAAGCGTTCAATTTCAAGTATTTTCTGTGTTTGCACCATGTAGAAATATAAAGTAGTTGTTGCAAAACAATCGATGCACCCAGACATCGACTGCATCACATGATGTCCAAGCTCAGGTGAAATTTTGGGCCCATAAATTCGGCCGTCAAAAACGATGAATTATGGTACTAAGATCATGCTTATACATGTAGTATTCGTTGAGAAACAATCTATTTACTTTCCTATTCGGAAACGGGTGCGATCATGTCCGATCGCATTCGTGCCAACTGTTCTGCAAACGGCAATAACACAATCCATTGACGGGTTGATGCAACAAGAGATTCAAGTCTTAGGGTTCTCGCCCTGTAAACTGATCCAACGTGTCGAAAGTGAGGACTTGGCCACAAGGAAGGTGGACACTCCCCTGGTTCGTGGTCTACTGCGAAGCAAAAGTATATTGAAACTGATAATCTACAGATAACCGAATCAAACTTGCCATTCAGCGCTGGCCGACGAGGGATGGTGCAGACCCTGACCCTGGAAATATTTTCCTCCTTGATCTTATTGCGCCAGTCTTGGTCTTGGAAGCGGAATAATACGACCTTACTGTCCAGAAAGGCGAGTATAAGAGCGAAGACAAACCAGAACGAAGCCCAACTTCAACTTGCTCGACTCAAGTCAAGATGAAATCTGCTCTGCTTCAAATCGTCGCTCTTTGCCTTGCCACCGGCTTTGCTTCTACATTGACGGCTGCTGGCCCGACCACCACTACCGCTAAGCCGGGCACCACGACTACCAAGCCGGCCGGACCTGCGACGACAAGCACTTCCACCATCGGAGCAGGTCCTACTCGTTCGTTAGCATTTTCTTACTGAAGTAACGATTAACATTGACTCAGAAGCGCCATCGCTTTCCGATGCGCCGAGCTCATATGCGGCTTTTGGCTCGGGTGAGTCGATTCTTCGCCGTCCTACGTCTTCTCATATTTCGCAACAGTTGTCAGCAAGTGGGCTACGCAGAACGAATGGGTCGGTAAAGAAGGATCCGACAACTTGCCCGTGCTGCTCATTCCTACGGCAAATACCAGCTCTCCCAGCGATACAGCCCCAGTCCGAGTGCAATTTGGTTCTGGATATTTCGAGGTTTGTTGTATGTCAAAGATGCCTTCCACTTATGAACAACCGTATAGGTCGACACGATCTACAGTAGTGGAAGCAACTTCCTTCGCAACACGACCGTCTCTATTCTTGTCCCACTTTGGGGCCTCACCAATCTTTCTGGACCACTCGACATTCCGCTCAGTCCTCCGGTCGACATTCCCGTGGCCATCCCCGGCACTCAGATCAATGGAACTATTACCTTCTTCCTTGATCCGACCACAAAAAGCGAAGTCCTCATGGGCTGGAAGCTCTTCACTCCTTTTGCCGGCAATCTTGATGAGAAGGGCCTCAGCGTCTTCCCCGACAAGTATGTGGTTTGATTGTGATTTGCCATTGCTTACAGAAGTTAGACTCAACACCTATTTCTCCCAAGCGCAACTCGAGGGCACTCGCCAATTCACGGACGCTGAACTGAAAGCACTCAGCAATCCTCCTGCCAAGCTCGTCCTCGATCCTAATGTCGGCTTTGCTAGTGAGTAATAAGAGCTTTCATGTTGCTAAAACTAACTCGTGTTAGACCCGAATCCAGAGCAAAAGCGTGAGTTGATTCAATCCTAAGCAATTGCTTAGCTTATCGTGCACAGTCCTCCAAGAGTTCATCAACAACTACGTCGACCCAAGCACTTCCACGACTGCTATTCAGACCTTCGGTGCTTCCACCAGCGGGTACACCGTCGACGTCTCCTTCTTGAGTATTCTCGAACTCTCGGGAAATGTGGACCCTTCCTCGCTCTCCGCCTCGGTCACGCTCTACGTCAAAATTCCGCTCGCCAGTCGCATCAGCCTGACGAAGATTGAGGGCAGCCTGATCACTGGTATCACGGCTAACATTAACGTGATACTGGCCAGCGGTAGGGGCGACCATATCCGCCCCGGTTAGCCCATCGGGCAAGCACGACCTCACAATCGACGCCACCCTCAGCATCCAGTTTGTTGGCGACTTCGGAACTGGCGGAAAACATAAGATCTTAACCCTTCCGTGCGTTGCTGTCACTTCTTCTCTCCGCGATACTGACTCTACTGCTCAGCTTCTAATAATCTCTGAACAAATACCACTCAAGCTTATGTATTGTCAATGAATATTTATTGCGAAATTTGCTCCATTGAAATTGGGTTGACTTGACTTGAGTCCTGGGCTACGAGCTGGTATCTACTTACCCTCTGGACGATGTAAAAAGGTGAAGACGTGGCGATAGGCACAGCAGTACTCTTGTTTATATTTTCTGCTTCTGCTTCAGTCGTTGTCGTTCGGACTTCCATTCGTTCATATGATTTCACGCCCACGTGATACTTAGTCAGGCATTCTTGACATGCGGCGTCTCGACGCGAGAGATTAGCTCCGAGGGTG